AGCCTTTTCATAAGGCTGCTTGTCATCTGCAGGAGTGTTATTCCACACCCCTCCCAGCTTCTTCGCAGCATCACCAATGGACAGGCCAGGATGTTCTCCTTTGATTTTTGGGCCATATGCAGAACAGAACAAGAAAAAGGCTGAAGGAGGCCTCTTGGGTGCATTGGGATCCTTGAACTTCTTTTTTTTCTCCCCTTTAGGAGGGATATATGTTTTCATTTCTCTTTCATAATGGGCCTTGTCTGCCCATAGCTTCAAATTGTCCTTTCTCTTTAGCAGACATGGTCTTCCACCTCTCTGAGCACTTCTTAGAAAACTCTGAGAAGTTGACTGAAACATATGAGCGCTACTTCTTTCTTATGCTCCTCCCGACAAGTTTGCACATAAAATACATATGATGGCATTTTTCCTCTTGGCCTCTTAAGATCTCCTTTGCCCATGTTTGGTTATTTTTCCTCAGCGAGGCACAGAGTTGCCTAGTGCCTGTCTGACTCTCACTTGTCCCTGTACTGTCTTTATATGGAGCTCGACTCTTTTGAGCTCTGCCTATAATTCATTTTTAAAACTGCAGAGCTCATAAAACAGCAACTCAAAGCAAAACAAAAAGCAAACCCCAGTGTTCAAAATGAATTCTCTGCTTTTATTTTTGAAACAGCCATTTAATTTAAAAACACTTTTTTAAAAATGAAATTCTAAAGTCATAAAGAATGAGTTAAGTTTTAAAAATTTACTTTAAAACTTGTACCCCGTTAGTGCTTAGCTCTAGGACCCCTCTCAGGTTCAAACCAGCTTGCTCTATTTGTCTTCTTCCTTTGTAGGAGAATCTAGAGATTCGGTGTCTTTTCTTTAATTATGTGGCTGCCAACACACACTATCCCTTCATAGGTTGCTGGGAGTTGTGTGTGGGGAACTGTGAGGGAGTGGGAATAGGTGAGACTTAATTGTCAGGTTTGCTGATTTCGGTGGTGTAAATACTTTCTTATTTATGTGCTCCCATTTTGATGTCACTGAACATGGAGTTGCAAAGAGGTGCTCACTATACAGTATTTCTACCATACAGATACAATCGACACAAAAACCTTTAAGGACATAAATCATAGGAAGCCATAGTAAAAGAATTAGGAGTGATAAGTCTGGAGTCTACTATCTTTAGTTTTAATATAATTTAATTGTAAACTTATGTAATTTGATTTTTTAATTTTTTGACATAATCTCCCTCTGTCACCCAGGCTGGAGTGCAGGGGCACGATCACAGCTCACAGCAGCCTTGACCTCCTGGACTCAAGCAATCCTCCCACCTCAGCCTCCTGAGTAGCTGGGACTACAGGTGCATGCCACCATGCACAGCTAATTTTTTTTTGTAGAAATGGGGTCTCATTATGTTGCCTAGACTAGTCTCAAACTCCTGGGCTCAAGCAATCCTCTTTGACTCAGCCTCCCAAAGCTGGGATTACAGGCATGAGTCACTATACCCAGTCTGCAATCTGATTTTTGTTCTTTTGAGATGGAGTTTCGCTCTTGTTACCCAGGCTGGAGTGCAATGGCGCGACCTCGGCTCACCGCAACCTCCACCTCCTGGGTTCAGGCAATTCTCCTGCCTCAGCCTCCCGAGTAGCTGGGACTACAGGCGCGCACCACCATGCCCAGCTAATTTTTTGTATTTTTAGTAGAGACGGGGTTTCACCATGTTGACCAGGATGGACTTGATCTCTTGACCTCGTGATCCACCCGCCTCGGCCTCCCAAAGTGCTGGGATTACAGGCTTGAGCCACCGCGCCTGGCCTGCAATCTGATTTTTAATGGTTGTGTTTGACAACTGGCTCACAAAATTCCTAAAAATCGCAACTGCTAAGAGCTGGCTCTAGTACACTATTGTTTATTGCAAATACGTGGGAACTCAGAGAATGCTAAACTGTAAATTCTCAAAGGCAGTGTAGTGGCAGAAAAATGTGATACCTTTCCTCATCCATCATAAGGAACAGCCACCACTCCTATAGCAAAAGACAGATTAACAAGAGAAAAGAGCCAGGTGCAGTGGCTCATGCCTATAATGCTAGCACTTTAGGGGCCAAAGTGGGAAGAATGCTTGAGTCCAGGAGTTCAAGACCAGCCTGGGCAACATAGCAAAACCCCATCTCTACAAAATAAAAAAAATTAGCTAGGCCTGGTGGTGTGCACCTGTAGACCCAGCTACTCAGGAAACAGGAGCCAAGAGGATCGCTTGAGCCCAAGAGGTAGAGGCTGCAGTGAGCCGTGATCATGCCGCTGCACTCCAGTCCGGGTGACAGAGTGAGATCCTCTCTCAAAAAAGAAAACAAAATGAAAATAAAATTATAACAAGGCTGGGAGGGTGCAGTGGCTCATGGCTGTAATCTCAGCACTTTGGGAGGCTGAGGTGGGCAGATCATGAGATCAGGAGTTCAAGACTTGCCTGGCCAACATGGTGAAACCTCATCTCTACTAAAGATACAAAAAATTAGCCGGGCCTGGTAGCACATGCCTGTAATCCCAGCTACTTGGGAGGCTGAGGCAGGAGAATCACTTGAACCTGGGAGGCAGAAATTGCAGTAAGCTGAGATCGCACCATTGCACTCCAGGTTGGGCAACAGAGCAAGACTCTGTCAAAGAAAGAAAAAAAGAAAGAGAGAAAGAGAGAAAGAGAGGGAAGGGGAGGGGAGGGGAGGGGAGGAAGAAGGGAAAAATGATAACAAATTTATTCCATCAAAGTTTCACATGACACTAGAGCCTTCAGAAATGAAGACCCATTATCCCCCAAAAGAGGGCACCACAGTGATTGCAAAGTGGTGTGATTTGTAGTTGTGGATGCTGCACTTGTATGAGATTCTGAACCTCTGTTTGGCAATCTTTGAATCTTCTTGGTTAATATTGTTTTGGCAAATACTGGCTGTAAAGGTTAGATGATGGCAGCATTAATGGGCAACACAGGCGCACACTTGGCACTGATAACCCTATTTCCCAAATACTCCCAGATAAACTTCCTGCAGTAAGAGCAGTAGGTGGGCTGCCTCAGGTATCTGTTTCCATAATCTTGTTTCCATTGATCTGTTTTATTGGTGGGGGAGGGGGTGGGTTTGGAGACAGGGTCTCTTTCTATCACCTATGCTGGAGTACAGTGGTGCAATCATAGCTCACTGTAGCCTTGAACTCCCCCACCTTAAGAAATCCCCCACCTCAGCCTTCCAAGTAGCTGGAACCACAGGTGTGCACTACCACTCCTGGCTAATTTTTATTTTAGAGACAGGAACTCACCATGTTGCCCAGGCTGGTCTTAAACTCCTGGTCTCAAATGATCCTCTCATCTCAGCCTCCTAAGTACCTGGGATTACAGGCTTGAGCCACCATGTCCTGCCCTATTGGGGTTATTACCACAAATACTTTCCCCTCTGGCTGTAGGTTCAGCCAGCCTTGGAAGGTGTCCAGAATGTCGGCCATGCCAGCCATGCACAGCAGCTCCCAGTGAAAAAAAATAGCTCAGAGCAATCTTTTGAATCTATGCTCCTATGTTGCAATCCTCAAGCTTGTCCCAAATAAATTCTCTAGTTATATTAATTTCGCCTCAGCTTCTTCCTTTTAGTCCACACTGGAATTGTTAACAAGGCAGCCCTAGAAATATAGCTGGGAAAGCTCATTATTTTCTTTCTTTTTTATTTTTTTTGAGAGTCTCCCTCTATCACCTAGGAGTGCAGTGGCTCAATCTCAGCTCACTGTACCCTCCACCTCCTGGGTTCAAGAGATTGTTGTGCCTCAGCCTCCCAAGTAGCTGGGATTACAAGTGCCAGCTATCACACCTGGCTAAAGTTTTTTGTATTTTTAGTAGAGATGGTGGGTCTCACAATATTGGCCAAGCTGGTCTCAAACTCCTGGCCTCCCAAAGTGTTGGGATTATAAGCATGAACCCAGACTATTTTCTTAAACAATAAACAGCTGTGAAATCTCATTTTTTTTTCTAAACAGTGTTTTTCTAGTCTTTTTATCTGTAGGTACTTTGCTTAAAAGAATTCCAGATGGCCTGAGAAGTCCCAGGAGCTTCAGAACCCTTTGTCAATTACCAGAGGAAGATAAGGCTGGTGTAAAATTGGTGCCAACCAGAACTGGCAGCTCCTTGTTGCCTTTAGATCATTAAGATATCATCATCATGTTAAAATCCCACTCACAGAAGAAAATCCCCACCATTTTCTGGACATGCAATGTATGAAGATGCGTGTTTGTGATCGTGGGCTCCCTGCACATGTTTACATACTTCCCCTTCCCACATGTAACTCCATAACATTCCTCAGCTTCCCATAGCTCTGGGAGAATGTGTCTTTAGAGCAGGGGTCCCCAACCCAGGGCCATTGACTAGTACTGGCTTGTGGCCTGTTAGGAACCAAGCTGCACAGCAGGAGGTGAGTAGTAGGTGGGCAAGCCAGCAAGTGAAACTTCATCTGTATTTACAGCCATTCCCCATCATTGGCATTAATACCTGAGCTCTGCCTCCTGTCAGATCAGCAGTGGCATTAGATTCTCCTAGGAGTGTGGACCCTATTGTGAACTATGCATGTGATAGATCTAGGTTGCATGCTCCTTATGAGAAGCTAATGCCTGATGATCTGTCACTGTCTCCCATCACCCACAGATGGGACATTTAGTTGCAGGAAAACAAGTTCAGGGCTCCCACTGATTCTGTATTATGGTACAGGTTGAATGAGACATCTACGTTGGCGGTCTTGGGGACTCCTGCAGGTCAGTAGTCCCCCGGCAGACGTGCCGGACCCCGACAGTGAGTTAATTATTCCATTATATATTACAATGTAAATAATAGCAATAAAGTGCACAATAAATGTAATGCACTTAAATCATCCCCAAACCATCCCTCTCACCAGGGTCTGTGGAAAAACTGTTACATGAAACTGGTTCCTGCTGCCAAAAAGGTTGGGGAACGCTGCTTTAGAGCAAGAGCTCTCTCCTCTATTCATGGCCAGGAATAAAACCTGCTTGCCTTTTGTTTTTCCAATTGGGTATTCTTTATTTGCAACCCATACAAAGTAGGGAAAGAACTCAGTTTGTCAGCGATAGAATTACAGGGTACATGTTGACATGAAGTGGTCATAGCCCAGGGGCATGTCATGATGATGGCCGCCTTCAGTGGCATTAGTGCAGAGCTCCTTGGGGCGCATGGGTTTGGTGGTCCTCCATTGGCACTGGTCTGGCCCACATGCACCTCATCCACACTCACCATCAGGTAGGGCTCCGGCAGCTGGTGGCCCTTCATGAGCACACGGCACAAGTTTCATAGCCTGATGGGTTCTTCTTCCCTGCTCCTGAAAAAAATCATCGAGAACAGCAGAAGTTATACTAAAGAAAGAGTTTAATAATTGTAGTTAGGGTTAAGCCACGTGAGGAGAACAAGGAGAAATTTCTTAAACCCCTCTCTCCAAGAATTTGGAGGCTCGGGTTTTTTAAGGGTACTTTGAGAGGCCGGGAGCTGGGGAACTGAAATAATTGATTGGTTGGGGATGAAATCACAGGGACATTTAAAACTGTCTTTGTACAGCTGAGTCAGTTCCCAGGAACTGTGGGTGGTCTCAGGACCAGGTGGTCTCCCTTGATTTACTGAAATGCTGAATCTGAAAAGGATTTCTAAGTCTAGTTCTTTAGGTTTCACAATAGTGAGGTTATCCATAGGAGTAGTAGAGGAAGTTATAATCTTGAGACCACCATTATTTGGGGCAATAAGCAACTTACAGTAAACAGAGGAAGCAACAGCAGATCATTGTTAACTGTGTTCAAACCCTTACCAAAATTCTTCAGCAAAGTCCAAGCCCCTACCATAATTCTAACCACGTCATATGAATGTGGCCTCAATCTCCAAACAAGGAAGAGGGTCAGTTCTCCTTGCCTCAAAGTTTAGCTATAAGCTAAATTCCTCTTACAGCTATCTTGGCCTCTGCACTGGAATATTAAAACAAAAAAATACCCAAACAATTTAGCTTATAAAACTAGAAGCAAAATGGAGTCAATCATGTTATATTTCATTACTTAAAATTCTGCAAAGGTTTCTCAGGGAATGTGGATCCTCGAATAACCATTCAACAGCATGGTGCCAGACCATACATAGGCTGGTGCCTCTGCCCCTGGCTGGCAACCCTTGAAGCAGCCACAGGAGTGGAGGTAGCCCTGGGGAAAAACAGCACCCAAGCGGCCCTTGACTAGCCATCCTGCTTCCTCCATTGGCCCTTCTCCTCCCCTCATTCCCTTCATCCCTCCCAAGGTCAAAAGGAAGGGACAAAGCTCACCAGGGAAGTGTGTCCCTCTCAATCTCTCAGCGCTTCCAGGGGCCTTGTGCAGACTCGCCCTTTCTCCAAGGCCAAGAAACTCCTGTCCTCTGAAAGCTGGAGCTATCAGTCCCATTAGCGCCAGCCCCTAGCGGATTCCCACCCCCTTCCTCTTCTCCTCCTCAATAATATGTTTTGTTAAAATATTTGGCCTTTTGCCAGGTGCAGTGGCTCATGCCTGTAATCCCAGCACTTTGGGAGGCTGAGGTGGGCAGATCATCAGATCAGGAGTTCGAGACCACCCTGACCAACATGGTGAAACCCCGTTTCTACTAAAAATACAAAAATTAGCTGGGCATGGTGGTGCATGCCTGTAATCTTAGCTACTCAGGAGGCTGGGGCAGGAGAACTGCTTGAACCCAGGAGGCGAAGGTTGCAGTGAAACAAGATTGCACCACCGCACTCCAGCCTGGGTGAAAGAGTGAGACTCCATCTCAAAAAATAAAATAAAATTGGCCTTTCGTTCTTGGTTTCTGAAACAGTTCTGGAGCAATAAAGGTGAAAGGCTCTAGTTATTTATAATGAGCCCCTTTCAACTACACCTGAGTTTATGTTAAGGAGGTGAGTTTTGTAAAGTCCCTAGATAACCACAGGCTTAGGGGCTGGTTGCCAGGAGAACCAATCAACTCAGGGGCTTGAAATTCACACACCCCCACCCCCACCAACACACACCTTCCAGAAGGGGAAGAGGGACTGAAGGTTGAGTTGGCCACCAATAGCCAATGATTTAATTAACTAGGCCTACATAATGAAGCCTCCATAAAAACCCAAAAGAACTGAGTTCAGGGGACTTCCACATATGGGGCACAGGGAAGGGATGCACCCCAACTCCATGGGGACAACAGTGCCTGAGCTCAGGACCTTCCCAGACCTCCCTCTATGTATCTCTTCATCTGGCTATTCATAGTATCCTTTAAAATATGCATTATAATAAACCAGAAAGCGCAAGTCAAGTGTTTCCCAGAGTTCTGTGAGCCTTCATGAGCAAGTGGCACAGGTGTCACAACCTAACCAGTTTTTCTTGCCTGCTGCCCTGAAAAAAACCACTGAGAACAGCAGGAGTTGCAGCAAAGACAGAGTTTAATAGGAAATTAACTGAACCCAAAAGGAGCGTTGTGGGAATGCCAATTAATGGCTGGTTGGTGGGAAGTTCCAGAAGCTTGGACTTATGACTGATGTCTCAAGTCAGGGGCACTTTTGTGGGACTGAGCTGTCGACAAGCTCTGTGGGATCTGACATGACTTCTAGGTGGATAGTGTCAGAATTGAATTGCTTGCGTGATGTGTGGGGGAAACCCCCCCCATATACTTGGTCACAGAAGTTTTCTGTGTTGTGAGAAACAACAGGAGAATCAAACTGTATTTTGTTTTGTTGTTTTCTTACCAGTGTCCTTGTAAAAAAAAAAAAAAAGTGCCCAGAGAGCTGCCTTGCCCCTTGCACCGTGTGAGGACACAGCAAGAATGTGTCATCTATGAAATGGGCTATCACCAGACACCAAATCTGCAGGCAACATGATCCTGGACTTCCCAGCCTCCAGGACTGTGACAAAAGTTTAAGTTCCTGATATAAAATGGCATTATATTTGCATACAGCCTATGCAGTCTTCCTGTAAATCAGCTCTAGATTACTTGTAATACCTAATACAATGTAAATGATATGGTTTTTTTTGTTGTTGTTGTTAATGAATGAGAGCTTCTTATGTTGCTCAGGTTGGCCTTGAACTCATAGCCTCACCTCCTCAAGCGCCAGGACAACTGGCCGGAGCCACCGCGGCTCCCATAAATGATACGTTAATAGTCATCCTGTATTTTTTAGGGAATGATGGCAAGAAAAAAGTCTACGCATGTTCAGTACAGACACTATTTTTTTTTCTTTTTTTTGAGACAGGGTCTCACTCAGGCTGGAGTGCAGTGGCATGAACATGGCTCACTGCAGCCTTGACATCCTGGGCTCCAGGGATCCTTCTGCCTTAGCCTCCTGTGTAGCTGGGACGGGAGGCACATGCCACAAAGCCCAGCTAATTTTTTTGAATTTTTTGTAGAGACAGGGGTTTCACTTTGTTGCCTGGGCTGCTCTCAAACTCCTGGGCTCAAGCAATTCTCCCGTTTCAGCCTCCCAAAGTGCCGAGATTACAGACATGAGCCACCAAACCAACTCTCTGAATATTCTCCACCCATGGTTGGTTGAATTCATGGATGCGGAATCCACAAAGTTCCTACTGGATACTTTTATCTCTGGCTAAAGAGTTACATTGTACTAAACAAAACCCCAGTAGGTAAATTAATCTTTTCTCCTATTAAAGTCTATTTTCAGTTAATTCATAGGCCTCTAATGTTAGATCCTAGGATGACAGAGGGAAAGATTTCCTCCCAAGAGTGCTTAACTCTAGCAGCTCCCTAAAAATAATGGGAGCTTTTTAAAAATACTCATATCTGCGGGGTATGGTGGCTCATGCCTGCAATCCGAGCACTTTGGGAGGCCAAGGTGGGTGGGTCACAAGGTTAGGAGATCCAGACCATCCCAGCTAACACGGTGAAATCCCTTTTCTACTAAAAATACAAAATACTAGCCGGGCGTGGTGGCACGTGCCTGTAGTCCCAGCTACTCGGGAGGCTTAGGCAAGAGAATCACTTGAACCCGAGATGGAGGTTGCAGTGAGAGCCAAGATCATGCCACTGCACTCCAGCCTGGGTGACAGAGCGAGACTCCATCTAAAACAAAACAAAACAAAACAAAACAAAAAAACAAAACTCATGTCCACATTCTCCTTCCCTCACTGCCCATTCTGATTTAATTACCTGGGATGGACCCAGGTGTAGTTTTTAAGAGCTCCCCAGGTGATTGTTCTGTGTAGCAGGGTAGAGAATCCAGTATTAAGAGTTACATCTTTCAGTACTTCTCAAATTTTAATGTCTAAGAGTATCACCCAAGAATCTTGCTAAAACTCAGATCCTGAGTCTGTAGGTTTGGTGTAAGACTCAAGAATCTGCATTTTGAACAAGCACCTAGCCATTCCTGCTGGTTTACCTCCCACACTTTGACTGTATCAGGGTTTTTAAAAATCAGGGCTCTTTTACCTTTCTTTTGAACTATTCATAAAAAATAGTTACATAAAGGTAACTTATTTCCAAGGCTACACAGTTGTGGCTTGATCAAAATCATGAAACTGAGCTGAGGGAGTTATGGTCTAATTGAACCTATTTGTAAAACCTGTGCCCATCAAATTAGATCCATCTTTTATCTAAACTTTCTCACAAGCTTGGCTTAAAAACATTTAGTGTACAATAACAAAAAGTATCCTGATATTACAAGGGAAGAGAAACATTCCACATAAAAGCCAGGTATGATCCTAGACTTAAGTTGAATATATTAAGCTCTACTGTCTTAGGAAGTCACCAGATGGAGATGTGATTCCATGAAAAAAACCTCTACTTGCTGTGCTATATCAGATTCTGCTAATAGATTTCTTTCTGTTTCCTTTCTTTTATTTTTTTCCCCACTGTCATTCTTCCTTACTTGAAACAATTACCAGCCATTTTCACTGGCTAGGAAAACAACAGGGTGACAGTAAGTAAACTATGGTAGATTAGTGTAGGGGAAAAGTAAGTATTTTTTCTTTTCTTTTTTTTTTTTTTTTTTGAGACGGAGTTTCGCTCTCGTTACTCAGGCTGGAGTGCAATGGCACGATCTCGGCTCACCACAACCTCTACCTCCTGGGTTCAGGCAATTCTCCTGCCTCAGTCTCCTGAGTAGCCGGGATTACACGGCATGCGCCACCATGCCCAGCTAATTTTTTATATTTTTAGTAGAGACGGGGTTTCACCATGTTGACCAGGATGGTCTCGATCTCTTGACCTCGTGATCCACCTGCCTCGGCCTCCCAAAGTGCTGGGATTACAGGCTTGAGCCACCGCGCCCGGCCCAATAAGTATTTTTTCTTTCCATTGCTAAGTTAATGGCTAACAAAGCATATGTTAACACGAGAAAAAATATACAACTGCTTGGCATGGTGGCTCATGCCTGTAATCCCAGCACTTTGGGAGGCCAAGGCAGGTAGATCACAAGATCAGGAGTTCGAGACCAGCCTGGCCAATATGGTGAAACCCCGTCTCTACTAAAAATACAAGAATTAGCCAGGCATGGTGGAGAGTGCCTGTAGTCCCAGCTACTCGGGAGGCTGAGGCAGTAGAATCCCTTAAACCTGGGAGGCCGAGGTTGCAGTGAGCCAAGATGGCACCATTGCGCTCCAGCCTGGGTGACAGAGTAAGACTCTGTTTAAAAAAAAAAAAATTAACCAGCTAGGTACGGTGGCTCACACCTATAATTCCAGCACTGTGGGGGGCTGAGGCACACAGATTGCTTGTGACCGGCCTGGGGAACAAGGTGAAACCTCATCTCTATTAAAAATACAAAAATTATGCCTTGGGACAGTTCTGTGAAAAAAAATATATATATAAATTAGCCGGACATGGTGGTATGCACCTGTAGTACCAACTACTGGGGAGGGTGAGGCAGGAGGATCGCTTGAGCCCAGGAGGCAGAGGTTGAGGTGAGCCAAGACTGTGTCACTGCACTCCAGCCTGGGCAACAGAGCAAGACTCCGTATAAAAAAAAAATTAATATGAGAGAAACATATAAATTTATTTAATATGTGACATAGGAGCTTTTGTAAAGAGGAAATACTTAGGTGGCAGGATTATGGATATATTTTATTTTATAAAATTTCTATTTGATGTTGGGTAAATACCAAATATACCTTACTAAAAAAGAGAATGGCAAGGCTGGGCACAATGGCTTATGTCTGTAAGCCCAGCACTTTGGGAGGCCAAGGTGGGAGAACACGTTGAGCCCCCAGGAGTCTGAAGTTATAGTGAGCTGATATTTGTGCCAGTGCACTCCAGCCTGGGTGACAGAGTGAGATACTATCTCTAAGAATAAATAAATAAAAAGGGAGAGGTAATAAAAATTTTAATGTACATTATGAAAATATCAGAAAACATCAAATACCTACAAATAAGTTCTAATGAAAGATGTGCCAAATAATTGTTAAGCATTGCTGAGAGAAATTAGAGAAGATTTCAATAAATGGAGAGATGCCAGGCTCATGGATTGGAACATGTGGCATAGTTAAGATGTCAATTCTCCTTTCAATTGATTGATAGATTCAGTACAACCCAAGTAGATTTTTTGGTGAAAATACAAAAAGCCTATAGTAGCCAATACAATTTTGAAGAAAAGGTACAAAACTGAAAGACTTAATAGTATGAGAAATCAAGACCTACTGTAGAGCTACAGTAATTGAGATAGGTTGCTATTAGCACAAGGAAAGACAAAACAGACAGTACAGTAATAGATTGACAAATATATGGTCACTTACTTTCAACAAAGGCACCATCACAATTGGAGGGGAGAAAGGGTAGTCTTTTCAACATATGCTGTTGGGAAAAAAAATGACCCTTAACCTCTACAAATAAAAACTAATTCAAAATGGATCACTGGCTTAAATATGAAAGGTAAAATAATTGAGCTTTTAGGAAAATAAAGATATGCAAAGTTGTTTTTTTTTTTTTTTCTTTGAGACAGGGTCTTGCTCTGTGACTCAGACCAGAATGCAGTGGCTTGATCACAGCTTACTGAAGCCTCAACTGGGCTCAAGCAACCCTTCTGCCTCAGCCTCCCTAGTGCCTAGTAGCTGTGCCACCATGCCTACCTTTTTTTTTTTTTTTTGGTAGAGTCCGAGTCTTGCTATGTTGCCCAACATGGTCTGGAACTCCTGAGCTCAAACGATTTTCCTGCCTCAGCCTCTCAGAGTGCTGGGATTATAGGCAGGAGCCACCATGCCCACAAGACAGGCAAAGCTTCCTAAACAGGACAAAATATTATACAACACTAGCCATAAAAGACAAGATTGATCAATTGAACTTTATGAAAATTAAAACCTCTGTTCATCAAAAGACACCATTAGAGTATGGAAAAGTAAGTCACAGACTGTGTTTTACTGCTTGGAGGATATACTTGAATTTAAAAATGTCCTTAAATGGACAGATGGAGACTTCCAATTCTGAAAGATGAAACAGACGTATCTTTGCCTATCATTCCACTAAGAAAGCTAAAACCTTGTGCCTGTAATCCCAGCTACTTGGGAGGCTGAGGCACAAGAATTGCTTGAACCTAGGAGGTGGAGGTTGCAGTGAGTAGAGATTGTGCTGCTGCATTCCAGCCTGGGCAACAGAATGAGACTGTCTCAATAAAACAAAACCAAAAAAATCCACAAAGGAGTAATAAGGATTTTAGCGACTGGGCACAGTGGCTCATGCCTGCAATCCCAGCACTTTAGGAGGCCAAGGCAGGAGGAATGCTTGAGCCCAGGCATTCACTGTTACAATGAGTTATGATTATAACACCGTACTGTAGCCTGAGTAACAGAGCAAGACCTTCTCTCTAAAAAGAAAAAGGATTTTAGATATCTTACATTACCACAGTATTTATTCCTAATAATTAAACATTTTTTAAAAACTAAGTAAAGTACATTTGATCTTTTCCTTTCTATGACTCTATAGTTGTGAAACTTCTTAGCCTGCTGGGCATGGTGACTCATGCCTGTAATCCCAATTCTTAGGGAGGCTGAGGTCTGAGGATTACTTGAGCCCAGGAGTCTGAAAATAGCCTGGAAAACGCAGTGAGATGCCATCTCTACAAAATATACAAAAATTAGCCTGATGTGGTAGAGTGTGCCTATAGCCCTAGATACTTAGGGGACTGAGGTGGGAGGATCTCTTGAGCCCAGGAGGTTGAGACCACAGTGACCCATGACTGTACCACTGCTGCACTCCACTTTGGGTGAAGAGCAAGGCCTTGTCATAAAACAAAACAAAACAAAACAAAACTTCTTAGCCTATACAGGTTCTTAACCTTTTTTGTATTGTAGACCCTCTGGAAGTCTGGTGAAACAAATTTAAAACATTTATTACAATAATGTTTTAAAGTGTATAAATACATAGGACTTCTAAGAAAATCAACTACATTAAAATATAGTTATCAAAATATTGCTTAAAATGTGTTATAGTGATATGTTTCTCTTTATTGACACATTAAAAACAATATCTAGTGGTGGATCTAATAATTATTGCAATTTTGACATTTTTAAACAATTATTGTGAAAAGAAAATATCTGTGATTTCTGTCAGTGACAAAAATCACAAGCTCTACACTACAATACTAGTTTCTTGCCTATATTCATAATCAAAAGAAATGTTAAATTTTATTTTTATTTATTTATTTTTTAAAAAGACGGGGTTTCACCATGTTGGTCAGGCTGGTCTTGAACTCCCGACCTCAGGTGATCTGCTTGCCTTGGCCTCCAAAGTGCTTGGATTACAGGCATGAGCCACTGAGCCCGGTCTAATGTTAAATTTTAATTAGAAGTTATGAACCTAAAAAGAAACACTGATTCTATCCATGGAGTCCGAGTTAAGAACTCCAGGACTACAGGCTTCCCCAACACATTAACAGTACTTATCTCTGAGTGGTGGAAATATGGGTGGTTTACATTTTTTTCTTTTCTGTATTTTTCAAATTTTCCACAATAAGCAAATACCACTTTTAAAATTACAAAATACATGATATATGTGATAGTAAAAGCAGTGATATGGTTTGGCTCTGTGTGCCTACCTAAATCTCATGTTGAATTGTAATCCTCACTTGTTGCTGGGGGACCCGGTGGGAGTTGATTGGATCATAGAGGCAGATTTCCCCCATGCTGCTCTCATGATACTGGGTGAGTTCTCTCACAAGATCTGACGGTTTAAAAATGTGGCATGTCCCCCATCCCCTCCTGCCGCCACGTAAGGCACATCTTGCTTCTCCTTTGCCTTCCACCATGATTGTAAGTTTCCTGAGGCCTCCCCAGCCATGCGGAACTGTGAATCAATTAAACCTCTTTTCTTTATTAATTACCCAGTCTCAGGTAGTTCTTTATAGAAGTGTGAGAACAGACTAATAGAAGGGGTGTATTAATTGTCAGATTCAGGGCACAGAAAAAAACTGGAATAATAAAGAAATGCTTGAAGAAATCTTTTAGAAAAAAAGAAAAGGGAAACAAAATCCTGAATGAAGATGAAGAAACAAAACCTGACTTTCATCAGAGAGACCTAAAGCTGGTGAGACCTTTATGCCATTTATTTTTATTTTTTAAATTAATTTAGACACAGTCTTGCTATGTTGCCCAGGCAGGTCTTAAACTCCTAAGTTCAAGTGATTCTCCTGCCTCAGCCACCTGAGCAGCTGGGATTACAGGCATTTGCCACCATGCCCAGTTAATTTTAAAAAATTTTTAGTAGAGACAGGGTTTCACCATGTTGGCCAGGCTGGTCTTGAACTCCTGACCAAAGTGATCTGTGCTGCTCGGCCTCCCAAAGTGCTGGGATTAAAGGCAACAGCCACTGCGCCCAGCCCATCACAAGTGTTTCGACAGTCCACACAGCCACTCCTGGGCCACATCAAAAGTAAAAATGGAACCCAGCCGGGCGTGGTGGCTCACGCCTATAATCCCAGCACTCTGGGAGGCCAAGGCAGGTGGATCACGAGGTCAAGAGATCAAGACCATCCTGGTCAACAAGGTGAAACCCTGTCTCTACTAAAAATAAAAACATTAGCTGGGCATGGTGGTGCGCGCCTGTAGTCCCAGCTACTCGGGAGGCTGAGGCAGGAGAATTGCTTGAGCCCAGGAGGTGGAGGTTGCAGTGAGCCGAGATCGTGTCATTGCACTCCAGTCTGGGTAACAACAGCAAAACTCCGTCTCAAAAAAAAAAAAAAAAAAAAATTGGAATCCACAGGCCACTATTACTCATGAGTTTAGTAATTTTATTATCCATTTCTTCTGCATCTGCCACTCCTGCTTACTTCCCAGCCAGGTCTTGCCTGTCTACCACCGTCCAAGTAGTCGTTTAGGAGAGAGAACTCCCAGGCAGTGAAATCCTAACTCCTTACCAGACCCTACAAGATCCTCTTGGATCTGACCCCTACCTACCTCCCCACCTTCCAACTGTTTCCCTCACACACCAACCTTTCGGGCCTTTTGATTATTTCAATAAGCCAAGCTTGTTCCAGCTTCCAGGGCTTTGCCTTTCCTGGTCTTTCTTTCTGGCAAAGTCCTCCTCCAGAGCCCCTCCATTCCTGTCACGCTCCTTACCCTTGTAACTCCAGTGTCCTCTTACTCAGAGACTTCCCCTGACTGTCCTATGTAAAGTCCTCAGTCCATTCCTGCCAATCAACATAGTATTGCCTACGACACTCTTTGAAGTTATTTCCATATCGTCTCCTACTAGAAAGGAAGCTATTCGAGGGCAGAGACTGTCTGTCATCAACATCGTTCACCGCTACATCCTCAGCACTTCAAATTACCTGGCACAGGAAAAGAGTAAGTGGAATGAATACCCGTGGACTGTCTCCTTGTGGCTCACTCTGGCTTAAAGAAATCTGAGCAAAAGCACAATTAAAACTGTTGGTTTGGGCTGGGTGCAGTGGCTCACACCTGTAAACCCAGCACTTTGGGAGGCCGAGGTGGGCAGATCACCTGAGGTCAGGAGTTCGAGACCACCCTGGCCAACATGGTGAAAACCCATCTCTATTAAAAATACAAAAATCAGCCAGATGTGGTGGTGGGTGCCTGTAATTCTAGCTACTCAGAGGCTGAGGCCGGAGAATTGCTTGAACCCAGGGAACAGATGTTGCAGTGAGCTAAATTTGCTCCACTCCGTCTCAAAACAAAAACAAAAACAAACTACGGGTTTGTTTCGAGACAGGGTCTCGCTCTGTCACCCAGGCTGGAGAGCAGTGGCATGATCTCGGCTCGCTGCAACCTCGACCTCCCAGGCTCCAGCGATCCTCCCGCCTTGGCCTCCCAAAGCACTGGAAGTGTGAGCCAACGCGCCTGGCCTAAAAGCGTTTTAATCTGTCCACTGAATTGTTGCCCCCAACAAACTTTGTACGAAGACAATTACAGAAGCTGGGCCAAGGCCGAGCTTTTAGTGGAGAAGGGGTTTTGTCATGTTGGCCAGGTTGGTCTTGAACTCCTGGCCTCAGGTGATCTGCCCACCTCAGTCTCCCAAAATGCCGGAATTACAGACATGAGCCCCCATGCCCAGCCTGGATAATTCTTAAGGGCCCTTCTAGGACCAAAGTTCTGGGAGTTTCTAGCTTATTCTGCCCCCTCGTAGCCCTTGGCCTGTTTCTCTTTATCCACATGCAGAAACATCTGGCAGCCCCACATGGCTGAGTTGACCTGGGTCTAGTATGCCCTTGGACGGAAGACTAGCCTACCTAGCAGGTGACCTGGATTTTTCTTCCTGATCTGCTGCTTCCAAGTTGTATGACCTTGGCTAAGTCACTTCACTTTTCTGACTGTCACTTCGCTTTTTTTTTTTTTTTTTTTTTTGAGACGGAGTTTCGCTCTTGTTACCCAGGCTGGAGTGCAATGGCACGATCTTGGCTCACTGTAACTTCCGCCTCCTGGGTTCAGGCAATTCTCCCGCCTCAGCCTCCTGAGTAGCTGGGATTACAGGCATGCGCCACCATGCCCAGCTATTTTTTTTGTATTTTTAGTAGAGACGGGGGTTTCACCATGTTGACCAGGATGGTCTCGATCTCTTGACCTCGTGATCCACCCGCCTCGGCCTCCCAAAGTGCTGGTATTACAGGCGTGAGCCACCGCGCCCGGCCCCACTTCGCTTTTTAATGAAGTGTATCTGGTGAACAAGAAACGTTGTTAAAACACATGACTCACCATTCAAGAGATGGGTCTGACCATTCCCTTTCTCAGACTCAGACCCCAGGAGGGCTCTTGGCGCGCAACTGAGGCTGCGCGGGCTTAGGGGCGGGGCGTGGTGACGCGACTGCCGGAAGCGGGTCTGGAGCTGGCGAGGCTGGGAGAGCAGAAGAACGCGGTGCAGTGCGGGCCGCCTAGTAGGGGCAAGCCAGTCATGGAGGATGAGCGGAGCTTTTCGGATATCTGCGGCGGCCGCCTGGCCCTGCAGCGCCGCTACTACTCCCCGTCCTGCCGGGAGTTCTGCCTCAGCTGCCCTCGGCTCTCGCTGCGTTCGCTTACGGCTGTCACCTGCACGGTGTGGCTGGCGGCCTACGGACTCTTCAGCCTCTGCGAGGTAATGGCTGGTCGGCCCCTCCGCGCTCTCGGAGGAGGGGGTTCGGCTTTGGGAGAGTCTCTGGGGTCTTTGATCGAGCCCAGATCTCTGGTTGGCCCCTCCTACAGTGGTAGGACCAGAGGGCGGGAACTCACGGGTTTTGGGGACGCCACTCCGATGCTGGACAGCTCTTTAAATGATGTTTGGTGAATGTGTGCTCCTGGAAAGTACATTTCCCCTCTGTGTCTGTGCTCTGCTCGGTGGGTTCACCCAGCATACATCTAGTTCTTGCACGATGGTCTAAAACTTTAATTTCCACGTGTTCTATGTAATATAGGCGCGTAGTAATTTAATTCCAAGAGTTCAGGGAAGTAAGTGGGTCTTCCTCGTCTATCACTTCTGCTCCTCAAAGGCAGTGCTGCTAACAATACCTTATGTAGTTTTCCACAAACTGTCTTTGCCTCCACAGTGTACACTTGTGTAGCTGTGTGTATAAATATAGTGTTATCGTTCTTCCTAATCTGTTTTTCAATACAGTTTAACCCTCCCTCCTCCCAAACTCTCCCCCAATTTTAAGTACTTTCTAAAGGATTTTGAAATTTTGGATGTGTGTGGTATCTGTGCTCAATTTCCAGATTCATTCCTGTTTTCTCTGAGCCTCAATTTTCTACATCTCTAAAATAGAATTAATGCCTGCCATACCAGCTTCATGATATTGTGAGGGTTAAATGCAGTAACTTTATAACAGTTCTCAAATAAAAAGAATTATCCTAATTGCCTTTTCAGGCTGAGTTCTAGTTTCATATGTAGTGCCTGAGTTGGATGTATTATCCCTGAAGTGATCTGATCGGAGTTAAGTACAGCAGGGCTATTTATTTCTGTAACTTGGATATTGTTTCCATTACTGCATCCATTAGCTTTTTTTTGCTGTCAAAGCATATTTCACAGTATGGTAATTTAGCATTGAAATATGCAGAATTAAGACTGCCCTAATTGTAGTAAACTATCTAAAAGTCTGTTCAGTCAGGGTGCAGTAGCTCATGCCTGTAATCTAGCACTTTGGGAGGCTGAAGCAGGTGGATCACTTGAGGTCAGGAGTTCAAAACCAGCCTGGCCAACATGGTGAAACCGTGTCTCACTATGTATTTGTATTTTTATCACCATGTATTTTGTATTTGTAAAATACAAAAATTAGCTGGGTGTGGTGGCGCATGCCTGTAGTCCCAGATACTTGGGAGACCGAGGCAGGAGAATCACTTGAACCCAGGAGGCAGAGGTAACAGTGAGCGAAGATCGTGCCACTACACTCCAGCCTTGGCGACAGAGGAAGACTCTGTCTCAAAAAAAAAAAAAAATTTGTTCATAAGTCAGTTAAAATGATGATTAAATTGATTTGACAGCACCCCCAACATTTAAAATATAGTATAGTTGAATTTTAGTACTAGCCTGAGTTGTTATAGCCTATGTATGTGGTCATGTGAGGAGGAGGAGGAGGAAATAGATATTTATTAAATGCCCACTGAGTGCCGGATGCTTTACTAAATTCTTTACTTCAGCCTAGAATGAAGAAAACCAAGGCTTACAAAGAATAATGATTACCAAAAGTCTCAAAGCAGTAAATGGCAGATCTGGGCTTCAAACCCAGGGCTCTTTGACTCCAAGACCCTTTTTTTTCCTTTATACCATTGTATAGCTGATCTTAGGCAAAATTTAAAAACAAAAGCCTGCTTTTATGCCAGGTCCCCTCTGTACTTATGTCTCTTATCCTGGTGTACTCTGCTCACCCCTATCAAATGCCCGGGATTTAGTGACCTCATCTTCCTTTAAACTCTACTGCAACACTTCCTAAGGGCTCTGTGTGCCAAAATTTCTTACCTTTCCTATTCAAAACTTTATGAGAGTAGTGCATATCTGGAATGAGAAGAAATCTGATTGAAGGAATTCATTCAAACATACAGCTTAATACCAACTCAAATGAATATTGAATTGTTTGAATTCTATACAGAAAAATGAAGTAAAAAAATGCAGGTAGTAATGAAGTTTTAGGCATGGATTGCTTTCACTGGAAAACTGACGTGGATCAAATCCCTAAGGATTTACTGTCCTTAATCCCTTCATGTTTTTGAGTTCACAGTTCTATTAAAGTTCCAGGTTGTTCCCTTGTTTATTCCACCCTGGAATGTTCTTCTCCCTTCCCTTTCAACTAATTAGATTGGCCACTAACCACCACCTCCCCTGCACCAATTAAAATCCTATTTCCTTGGATGTGATGGGATATATTCTTGTGTGTTTTTATATCTTTTTCTTTCTTTTTTATTTAAAAAAAAAAAAAAACTTTTCCTTTGGTACTTGTAGTCAGTATCAGAGTATCCTCCAGAATATTTTCTATGTATTAATCTTGCCTTTAATAAATCTGTAAGGGTTAGGGCTGAATTGTATTCCTCTCCATTCTTCATAATGCTTATTCAGTGCAATTAATCTTAATTGCAAAATTAGATCTTTTTGGATCATCAGAGAACCAGTACTGAATCCTCCATTCATCAATCAACACATAGCACAGAGATCAGCAAACTGTTTCTTTCTTTTTTTTTTTTGAGGCAGGTTCTCACTCTGTTTCCTAAGCTGGAGTGTAGTGGTATGAATACCCTCACTGCAGCCTCAGTCTCTTGGACTCAAGTGATCCTCTTTTCTCAGCCTCCTGAGTAGCTGGGACTACAGGTGTATGCTGCCACACCTGGCCGATTTTTGTATTTTTTGTAGAGATGGGGTCTCACTATGTTGCCCAGGCTGGTCTTGAATTCCTAGCCTCAAACAATCTCCCTACATTGGCCTCCCAAAATGTGAGGATTCTAGGCATGAGCCACCATGCCTGGCCCAAACATTTTCTTTGAAAGACTAGATAGTAAATATAGCAGGTTCTGTGGATCTGTCTTATAATATTTTTTTCTTTCTTTCTATAGCCCTGTAAAAACTTAAAAATCATTTTTTGCTTGAGATGGGCCAGAGAAAACCAGACCACAGGTCCAAATGTTTGCAGATCCCTGATATAACACTATGGGTTAAGTAGTGGGAAGTATAAGGAAGTAGAAAGAGACCATCAAAGAAAACCAGAGCTAGTGAGTAGTTGAAGAGGTAAAAAATAGATTTTATTCAGGAACAACTACAGTAGGGGAAAAGAGACTTCAGTAGAGAATTCCAGATTCCTCAGTTCTGAATACAGCATGAACAAGTGGAGATTTATAGTCAAGGAGCAGGGTGGGAGTCAGTGGACAGAAAATTACTCAAAGGAAACATCAGGGGCAAGGTGGGATTCTGGTTAAACTGACTTGACAGGATTCTTGCTGAAGGCAGGCCAGGCTGATCAAATACCAAGGTAGGAGTTCTTTCTAAACTGATTCAGCAAGACGCTTGCTACAGCTTGGTGGGCAGTGCAGGCCCAACAAAGATGTCAAGGTCAGAGCCTAGAGGGCTTAGAGGAGCCTGACTAGAGGTAGACAAAGGAGGGCATCTTGTCAGTTCAAAGAATAATAAGACATTTCCTGCCCTCCAGGAATGCAGTCCAAAATTACCAGATTTCTTTGATTTTATGTCATCAATAATTTTTTTTCCTGTGCCAGCCTTCTAAATAATAGCTTCTGGGGAAAAAAAGATAAAATAATGCCACATGAAAGAAACACACCAATAGGAAAACACATTTTAACTTCAGAAATGTTAAAGATTGTACATTTGTCTTAGAATCAAGGGAATAAATAATAAACACCATTTTTTGAGCCCTTAACACATCACTTAGTCAACTGTAAGTCACAGAACAACTAAAATAACCTTAAGAGATAAGGACCTTTTCTATTAAGAAGTCATAAGGTAGGAGGGCTCCCGAGTTCACATAGAGACTCATTTGATTCTGGCTCTTGTAATCTTACTGCTGACACCCTTATGTACTCTACTTGTCCTCCATTTGGTCCTCCAAGTACAGAAACTGCACTTCCACCCTTAGCATCCTCTAGCTCTCCACTGGGTCTGGCAGAGGCCATAGTAGTTCCAGGTGTGTAAACCTCACGATGAAGGGAACTTCCCTTCTGTAGATTTTTAAAGGTGAACTCAAGTTTTCCAGAAGCCCCTCCAGCAGATCTCCCCTCACATCTCATTGGCAGAGTTGTGTCACAGGACTGGGAACCAATCATGATTCACTCCCTAGTTCAATTGGGGCGGGTGGGTGGCTGTTTATTAGGCAAGCCTAGTATCTGCTACACTGTGCTAAGCACTTCATAATTGTTCAGTCTGTGATTCTGCACCATATACAGATGGTTCCTGACTTACGATGGTTTGATTTAGATTTTTTTACTTTAGTGTGATATAGAAATAATACACAGTCAGTAGAAACTATACTTAAAGTACCCATACAAACATTGTTTTTCACTTTAAGTACAGCATTGAATAAATTACATAAGATTTTCCATGTTACTATAAAACAAGGTTTGCGTTACATGATTTGCCCAACTGTAGGCTAATGTAAGTGTTCTGAGCACATTTAAGGTAGGCTAGCCTAAGCACTGATGTTTGATAGGTTAGGTATATTAAATGCATTTTTAAATTTTAATTTATTTAGTGCTAGAACTCAGTATTAAATGCATTTTCATCTTACAATGAGTTTATCAGGACATAACTCCCTCTTGTACTCTGCTGAAAGAGTGAAAGGAAAATATTTGGTCCTTTTTTTTTTTGAGACTAGTGTCGTTTTGTCACCAGGCTGGAGTGCAGTGGCGTGATCTCAGCTCACTGCAACCTCTCCCTCCCAGGTTCAAGCAATTCTTCTGCTTTAATTTCCCGAGTAGCTGGGACTGCAGGTGTGCATCAACACGCCCAGCTAATTTTTGTATTTTTAGTTAGAGACAGGGTTTCACCATGTTGGCTAGGATGGTCTCAATCTCTTGACCTGTGAACTGCCCAAAGTGCTGGCATTATAGGCATGAGCCACCATGCTTGGCCGGATCCTTTTTTTTAAACAGGCAGTATCTTATTCTGGTTTCCAAGCTAGAGTGCAGTTGTATGATCATAGCTCACTTCAGCCTTGACCTCCTGGGTCAAGTGATCCTTTTGTCTCAGCCTCCCTAGTAGCTGGAATTACAGGTGTAAGCTACAGCATTCAGCTGATTTGGGCCCTTAAGTTGGAATTTTGGAAGAAAAATTTCTGAGATTGCTGTGATGATGGACATTTTGCTGATGGAAGTTTTCCCCAGACCTATCCATGTGTTGTCTGGATCTGTTTCACTGTATACTTTCATAGCACCTCAGAACCCAAATAAAAGCAATTTCCTTTTCCTCCATGCATGTTCCCCTCATCTGACAATCGAAGAAAGGCCTTTTTCTTCATTTGCCTGGAGTTGACTTGTACAGCACAGGTATATGCAGAGGACCACTTGGTAATCTTACTGCCTGTATCTGGCTCTCTCTTCAGAACAGCATGATCCTCTCTGCTGCCATCTTCATCACCCTCTTAGGTCTGCTTGGTTATCTCCATTTTGTAAAGATTGACCAGGAGACTCTGTTAATCATTGATTCCCTTGGCATTCAGATGACTTCATCTTATGCTTCAGGCAAAGAAAGTACTACCTTCATAGAGATGGGCAAGGTCAAGGATATTGTCATCAATGAGGCTATTTACATGGTAAGTATTTAAGAGGTAAGTATTACAGGCCTCTCTGGAGGAGGTAGCCAGCCCAAGGGATGTTCCCAGATCTAAACTTAATACCTAAATACCTAAAGTACTTAATGTCACAGAATTAAACATGAAGGCCCTCTGCTCTACTACTTATAGTACTAGAGTTTTCTTTTCGGCTGGCACATTTAATAAAATACATTTAACAAAAGTGAAAAGTAAGCTACCACATTCAGCTGATTTGGGCCCTTAAGTTGGAATTTGGAAGAAAAATTTCTGAGATTGCTGTGATGGTGGACATTAAAAAGGTAAAATTGCTTTATTTTTTTTTATTATTATTTTTTTGAGATGGAGTTTCACTCTCCTTACCCAGGCTGGAGTGCAATGGCACGATCTCGGCTCACCGCAACCTCCGCCTCCTGGGTTCAGGCAATTCTCCCTCCTCAGCCTCCTGAGTAGCTGGGATTACAGGCATGCGCCACCATGCCCAGCTAATTTTTTGTATTTTGAGTAGAGACGGGGTTTCACCATGTTGACCAGGATGGTCTCGATCTCTTGACCTTGTGATCCACCCGCCTCGGCCTCCCAAAGTGCTGGGATTACAGGCGTGAGCCACCGCGCCCGGCCAAAATTGCTTTATTTTTAAAGAGATGCAGCAGGCTTTCATGGATAGGGAATTAACATTTCAACTTTATCTTCAAAATTATCACTGGCATTTTTTCCTTCTCTTTCTTTTTTCTATTTTGTTGAGACAGGGTCTCACTCTGTTGCCCAGGCTGGAGTGCAGTGGCATGATCACAGCTCACTGCAGCCTCAAATTCCCAGGCTTAAGCCATCCTCCCACCTCCGCATCCCAAGTAGCTGTGACTACAGGCGCGTACCACCATGCTTAGTTCGTTTTTTCTATTTTTTGTAGAGATGGAGTCTTACTATGTTGCCTAGGCTGGTCTTGAATTCCTGGGCTCAAGACATCCTCCTGCTGTGGCCTCCCAGTGTTTAGTTTACAGGTTTGAGCCACTACGCCTGGCTCTCTTTTTTCTTTTTTTTTTTTTTGAGACGGAGTTTCACTCTTGTTACCCAGGCTGTAGTGCAATGGCACGATCTCGGCTCACCACAACCTCCGCCTCCTGGGTTCAGGCAATTCTCCTGCCTCAGCCTCCTGAGTAGCTGGGATTACAGGCACACGCCACCATGCCCAGCTAGTTTTTTGTATTTTTAGTAGAGACAGGGTTTCACCATGTTGGACCAGGATGGTCTCGATCTCTTGATCTCATGATCCACCCGCCTTGGCCTCCCAAAGTGCTGGGACTACAGGCGTAAGCCACCACTCCCGGCCCCCTTTTTTCATTTAAAGAATGAGAATATACTTTTCTCCCACTTCAAAAGCTATCAAGTGTTCTACTACTTAGAGATAACCATTTATGAAAAAGCGTTGAGCCTTCCCTTAGGAAAAAGGAATGTGGCCAGGTCCGGCGGCTCACACCTGTAATCCCAGCACTTTGGGAGGCCAAGGTGGGTGGATCACCTGAAGTTGGGAGTTCCAGACCAGCCTGGCCAACATGGTGAAACCCTGTCTCTATTAAAAATATAAAAAATTAGCCAGGTGTGGTGGCTCACACCTGTAATCCCAGCTACTCAGGAGGCTGAGGCAGGAAAATTGCTTGAACCTGGGAGGCAGAGGTTGCAGTGAGCCGTGATCGTGCCACTGTACTCCAGCCTGGGCAAGAGAGTGAGACTTCATCTCAAAAAAAAAAAAAAAAGGAAAAAAAGAATGCAAAATGATTTTCACTTAGACCTTGCTATTTATTTTCTTATAGCAAAAGGTGATTTATTACCTCTGCATCTTACTGAAGGATCCAGTGGAACCACATGGGATATCACAAGTAGTACCCGTCTTCCAGGTGAGCATAGAACACTTTTACCATTCTCCAATTAATCCTCAACCTTTTCAGTAGGAGTGTAAATTCCTTTTGTCAGAGTATTGGAAGATACCTGACAGCTGTTTTGAGTGAGAATTAGGATTTCAGTTGAGAAGTTCCTTTCTGAGGCAAATATAGTCCTTGAAAAAATTATTAATTAATTAATGTATATTTTATTTTATTTTAGACAGAATCTCACTTTGTCCCCCAGGCTGGAGTGCAGTGGTGTGATCGCCAACTCATTGCAGCCTCCACCTCCTAGGCTCAAGAAATCCTCCTGTCTCAGCCTCCTAAGTACTTGGAACTATATGTGTGCACCACCACACCCAGCTAATCTTTAAATTTTTAATAGAGATGGTCTTGCCATGTTGTCTAGGCTGATCTTGAATTCCTGAGTTCAAGTAATTCTCCTGCCTCGGTCTCCCAAAGTGTTGGGATTACAAGCATGAGCCACCACACCTGGCCTTGTGCACATTTTAAGAAAACAATCAAATATATAGCAACTTCTACCTACAAATCGCCATTCATCTACTTTGACTCTGTCAGTCTACTATGTACAGTTTTTCAGATAGAGGTCATTGATATATTCACACTGTACACTATTATGTGTCTTTGTAAATTAATATGTATGTATCCTACAAAGGCCATTATATTTATTATTTTAAATAATTATATTGTATAATATATTGAAACAACAGTTTAGCCACTCTTGCTAGTTTTTACAATCATGCCTGGGTTTTTTTGTTTTGCTCTTATAAAAAACACTTATCAGCTGAGTGCAGTGGCTCCTCATGCCTGTAATGCCAACACTTTGGGAGGCTGAGGCAGGCAGATCACTTGAGCTCAGGAGTTCAAGACCAGCCTGGGCAACGTGGTGAAACCCCCATCTCTACAAAAATACCAAAATTAGCTGAGCATAGTGGCGCACATCTGTGGTCTCAGCTACTTGGGAAGCTGAGTTAGGATTGCTTGAGCCCAGGAGGTAGAGGCTGCAGTAAGCTGTGATCATGCCACTGCACTCAGCCTGGAGCAAGACTCTATTTCAAAAAACAAAACTAAAATTATACAAACATGATAATAAATTATAGGTAGTTATTTATGTGCATATTTATGTATATAGTTAACCCTGCCAAACTGACCTTTTTCATAAAGGGCTTAAGATAGCTAAGCTAAAAAATTATTTTGCATTATAATTTAAAATTATTTTATTAAATCTTATGAATAGATTATATAGATTTCTAGTGTTTAAGATTTCTAGTGTTATAGATTTCTAGTGTTTAAGATTCGGCTCCAGAGATTGGACAACTTTACCATACTTGGGGGTTTTGTACTTGTTTTTCTACCATCTTGTCCAATAGCGAATTTAGCTTTGTTAGCTTAATATGTAGGTAAAGGCATTTTAAAGTAGGTGAATTTGTATCTTTTTAAATGATAGGCTTTTTATATTTCCTTGTATTACCTATCAATATTTCCTCTTATTTTAAACTACCTATCTTCTCTGTTAGTCAGGTAGAAACTGAACATTATATATTTGTATAGATTTTTTAATATTTTTAACAATTCTTTATATATTTTGGGTAGTATACTTTTATTAAATATACTTTCACATATATTTTTTCCATTCTGTGGTTTTTCTTTTAATTTCGGTTGTGTTACATTTCATTGTACAAAGCATTTTTCAATATTTACATATTAAACAGCCCTTCTTGTCTTTGAGGGCTATTTTACAACTTGTTATATTTCTCAAGGGTCCATTTTATTTTTCCTCTTGCTTACTCTTAGAGATGGAGTTCATGAAATTTAGACAGATTAAAAAGCTATCATTTGATCTCTCACCTCACACAATTCACAAGCTGGGCTGTGAGCTAGCTGGGACTCTTCCCAGCAAGGTGCCCTGAGGCCTGAACTTAACTCACCGAGCTCACTGCTGTGCTATTTATACCCCTTGATGTGGATGAGAGATGGAAATTGCATGTGGGCCCAGCACCTTGGCTCATGCCTCTAATCCCAGCACTTTGGGAGGCCAGGGCAGGCAGATCACTTAAGGCCAGGAGTTCAAGAGCAGCCTGGCCAACATGGTGAAACCCAGTCTCTACTAAAAATACAAAAATTAGCTGGGCATGGTGGTTTGTGCCTGTAGTCTCAGCTACTTGGGAGGCTGAGGCACAAGAATCATTTGAACCCAGGATGCAGAGGTTGCAGTGAGCTGAGATTGTGCCACTATATTCCACCCTGGGGGATAGAGCAAGACTATGTCTAAAAAAAGAAAAGTTGCATGTGGATGCAGCACCACTGTTCTCTCTCACATTCACCTTGACTCTGCATATCTCCCCTTTGGAATTCAGAGTGCCAAGCCCCGGCTGGACTGCTTGATTGAAGTATACAGGAGCTGCCAGGAGATCCTGGCACAGCAGAAAGCCACATCTACAAATCCATGAGGCCCAGCATTCAGAAGGCCAGGATTGTCTTTCAAAGGAGATGACTTTTAAGCCATAGTGGCTGGTTTTCCATACTTTAAACCATCAGGTGGACACAGTCCTAGGAACCAGTATGGATGTAGTGCATCTCAGAGCCACAGAGCAGGTGACTGGAAATCTAACTCAATGTACTTCTGTGTATTACAGTGTTTTCCTTGTAAGGTTTTGCCTACTTTACCAAAGGAGGGGAGACCTTAAGAATTTTGACACAGTATGTCAAAAGTAATGTCAGCAAAGCACTTTGTGAAATTGCTAAGCATATTCAGGTTTACTTTGTGTTAATGTTTGTGAAGTAAAACAGGAAACTACCATCAACTGTCTTGAGAAAGGTATACTTACCAATTACATAGTACCCCTGTGTCAAGTTACAAAAAAAAAAAAAATCAAGCCCATCTGGTACTGGTTAGCAGGAAGGAATGTCCTACAAAAGACGAGTCTGTCAACCTAGCACCTGTGTTCTCTACAGGGCTTATTTACGACTCTCTTAATAAACAGATCTCCTTCTGAAACAAGTTACCTGGTTCATGGATAGCTGCTTTTTATTGACAAACAAGATCATGGCATTTCAGTCATGGTGTCAAGCACATTAATACTTTTCTGTTACTCAGCATTTAAAAAATCATTTTAAAAGATACTTTTGCCAAGAGGGATGAGACAAAAGGCCAGACAGAAATTTGACTTTGGTTTTCAGACATGGGACTCCATGTTAACAAAGAATAAATAAGCAAATCATTGAATCCTTTGTTTCTAAGGCAGTTTCTTCTGTATAAAATCAGTAAACTAAAAGAGGATTCCTGAAGGGTTGGGGTGGAGATGGGGTGGAGAGAGGGTGGGGGAAACAGACTGACCACAGATTCAGTGTGAACACAGCTCCTTTCTTGTTTACTCTTTCTTCGGGCTCCTACTATTCTTTCTCTGGGTAGATAATGTTGTTCTTATTGGCCTTAGAGACACCCAAGATATTACAAAACCAGAGCCGTTATGTCTATCACCAGCCCTGCAGTAATTGTTCAGGAACCTGTAGTACATGTGACTTGTTCGAGGTAGAAATGTCTCAGCTAAATCCCCAAATCCTGGGGTAAAGGGTGTGACTAGAAATGACTGTACAACTACTTGCCTTGCAAAGTCAAGTACATTTAAAAGAGGCAGAGACTTGGATGTGCTGCTTTTTTCATCATGCTTGTCAGTTTACAGGGTGAAAGCAGCTGAGGCGTTCAGATAAACTAGTCCTGGCCTCACAGTTTTTGCTGTGCACAATATGCAGATATTATTGGCTAAAGGCTTGGTTTTGGATGCTACTGCTAAATAAACAGTTTTCAGCACTTTATTGACAGATAGTAAGGCTGCCTTAGAGCTATGAAATAGAACTCAGTTTCTCAGATGTTGGAAAATCAGAGTATGAACTCTTTCGTTTTGTTTTTGTTAGGGGAAGGTGTAGATAGTCTCCTCTGCACTCAATCAGAAGATCTGAATTGAGAAGGGCTATGGTGTTATCAGTAAGGCAAAAGATGAAAGAAACTTTTTATTTCTTTTAGCTATTACTCTTAGGCTAGGGCGACTATCACATATGTATCCTCGCCCTCAAACTAATTCCCAGCAGAAGTTTGCCAGAAGTCTCAAGGAGCATATCCAGGCCCACATGCCTGAAATAGTCTTCTGTGTTTCTGACTCATTTTTGTGGTCTTATAGCAGCAAAAAGCAGAGTGCATTTGCTTGGTCTTTTACAAGAGCAAGGAAACAAATGGTGGCCCACAGTAGTGAACACAGCCTTCACTGAGCCCTGTCCAGTCATTAAAATGAGACAGGGAGAGGTCAGATTGGAACTACCCCCTGCCCTTGTTTGCACATTGCATGGGTTTGGCTTATAGTCCAGTGTGAGAGAAAGAGCTTGAATCTTAGCATGGGGAAGGGGCAGTACCAATGCCTACATACCAATAATGGGGAAAGTGAGTCTATTCTTTTTTCTCCAACTCTGTCAGCACCTTTCCCATTTGGGAAAGGCAGTACAGTTTAGATAGTTCTAGGCTTCTGTCAGAGTGCAGGAGAATTGGAAATTTTAGTCCTATTCTGTTTAGCGACATTCAGAAAACTTCAAGTATAAATAAGACCATATACAATATTAAAAAATTAGCTTCCAGGCCAGGCGCGGTGGCTCACGCCTGTAATCCCAGCACTTTGGGAGGCTAAAATGGGTGGATCACCTGAGGTCAGGAGTTTGAGAACAGCCTAGCCAACATGGTGAGACCCCCATCTCTACTAAAAGTACAAAAATTAGGCATGGTGGTGCACACCTGCAATCCCAGCTACTCAGGAGGCTGAGGCAGAATTGCTTGAACCTGGGAAGTGGAGGTTGCAGTGAGCCAAGATTGCGCCACTGCACTCCAGCCTGGGCAACATAGACTCTATCCTCCCCTGTTCCTCCAAAAAAAAAAAGCTTCCTTGAGAGTATCAGTTCAGAAAGCCTTAACTTATAGCACTGATGCCCTCAGTAACAGTGGATCACCCCTGTCTATAGAATCAGGTAGCATTCTTACAAAAAAAGGAATAAGTGGTTTTAACACTGGATCTGGATTTTAAAAAGCTGGGCCCTGAAACATTATAAAGCACCTAGAGAATAAAGGCTTCACAGACACTAAAATGCACATTTCACAGAACAAGAGTGGTGGGGGCTGTTAGACCCATCACAGTAGTATCATACCCCAAGATATGTATCTCTAAATCCAGAGGCACTAGTGGTGGTGGGGAATGGAGTAGGAGAGATATTCACAGCAACGTTGGCCCCTTGGTAGCACAGGAAACAGAAGCAAAGAACTGTCGTCCATCCAGTTCCCACAGCTGGCGGGCTCCAGGTGGGTGGGTGGGTGGGTTCACAGTTGTAGAGCAATGGTTCATATAGCTGGCCATGATGAAGGTAGCTTCTGCAATCTAAAAGGAGGTCAGAGATGTGGAAGAATTAACTACTTTTAGCTTGAATCCTGGCTTTCTTACTTACTCGCTCTTATATTGAGTTCCTGGGCCTCAGTTTATTTAATCTTTTAAAATACCCACCTGGGAGAAAATATCCAAAGAGAATCATGACTGTGCAGTTCAGAGGCCTAGTGACGTGGACCTTTGTTGGTCTGGAGATCCTCTGAGATGCACAGTGCCCTTCTGAGAAAAGGAGGCCCTGTGTTCTGCTCTGGTTAGCTCTACAACCAGGGAAGGGGGCCTTCTTGAGAAAGGGATCTGTAGATCCTCTCCTTTGGCAGGGTGGTATTAAAGAAGGAGTAGGTTTGGCAAACTGTAACTTTAGGATTAAAAAGTGGGGGACAGTGGGCTTTCCAGTGAGTCACAGGGGAGTCAGGAACAATAAATCAGAACTTAGGTTCCTAAGCCTTTGTAATTGTTATTTTTGCTGGTCAACATTTCTTGTATTGAATAGAACAAAGTCATTAAAGCAAAAGAGGTCTTTTTGCTGTCTTCCCCATGACAAGGAAGAGGGAGCACTGTGGGACTGTCCCATTTTGTAGCAGAACCCCGGGGTAACATGATAGCACCATAATGAGGAAGCTGCCCTGCCTCGAGGTCTGCTGCAAGGAAGAGAATAGAGCAGGTAAGCACCCAACTGAGGAATGCATGATGCTGGTGCTTGAGAGAATAAAAAAGAAAAAGTGAATAGCATAACAGTAGCAATGCCAGAGTTAGGTCCCTCCAAATATGCTCCTTTACCTACTAGCTGAACAGTGATATTGAGATGCAACACCACCTGAACCATTTAGAATACTAATTACAGGTAAGGCCCACACTTCTATCTGGGCAGGGCCCTTGTAGAGCACTAGCATAACCCCAGTTTCCTTTCTAAGCTCCACGCCCACCACATCTTACCAGAGTAGAACGTTTAGCAGCTATCAGACCTACCTTGGCAGCAGCCATCCGAAAGATCAACTTCTCAATGTGGCTTTTTCCAGAGCTCTGGTCTGGGATAGATCTAATCACAAGCATGAAGTCATCCCTGCAGCCACCAAAGGTTGTCACTGAAGAGTAGGGGTAAGTGATGTGCACTTGCTGTGAAAAGGAACCAGTCAGTTCTGGGGAAACTTTCCACCTGTCCCCTGAGTTAGGCACCAGCACCCCCGTCTCTTCTAGGCACAGGCAGCCTTAACCAGGAAAGAACTCCCAAGTGGTCATAATTTGGAGATCTCTGTCTTGAATGTCTACAAACAGTGTCTAGACTAGAGGACAGTGGGGCTAGGGCAGGAGTGGGGCTAGGGCAACCGTGGTCATTGGGTTCAGGCTTTTGAGTCCACAGAGAAGAAAACACCATGCTAAGGAAGAGGAGGGGTCAGGGAGCAGCCGGCATCCTTTCATACCATAGTGTTGTGGTCCAGGATGCTGACGCCATCCTCATTCACAGCAATCCACACTAGAGCATTCTCCTTGGAAGACAGCTGGGCAGGCTAGGGAAACAGAAACAACCCTTCAGATATGTCCACAGTTAGAGATTTTGAACTGTAAGAACTTTCTGAGAAAGAAGGCACATCCAGGGATCTGCTAGGCAGTGATTTCCAGCCACCTGATCTTAGGTAACAAAGATGGTTTGTTTCAAACAAAAAAAAAAAGAGAGGATCCAAGATGGCTGATCACTAATAGTCCGGGATTGTAGCTCCCAGTGAAAGTGCACAGAACGAGAGGATACCACACTTTCAGACGAATTTTCATTGCTCATGGACCAGAAGATTCCCAGTGGAGGGGCCCCACGGGTCGCCAGCGCGACTCTTGTGGCCTGCACAGTGGTTTTGCCGGTGCCTCGGCATGGCAGCTCTTCGTGCAGAGTAAACGGGAGGAGATTCCCGGGCAGAAGAGCACCGTCAGTCTTATCGCTACTGTTTTGGCCGGCGCAGTGGGTTGTTCGGATTCCAGCGCTGGAAATCAATAAACTGGGCATCCACTCAGAAACCCAACTAGAAAGGTGGTAATGGTAAAGACGACAGATGGATAAATTTGTAACAAAGGGAAGAAACCAGCCTAAAAAGGCTGAGAATACCCAAAATCAGAACCCCTCTCCCTCTACAGGGGATTACAGTTCCTCATCAGCAATGGAACAAGCCCTGATGGAAAAGGACTGTGTGCCATTATCAGAAGTAGGCTTCAGAAGGTGGATGATAAGAAACTTCTGGGAGTTAAAAGAACTTGTTCTAACCCAATGTAAAGAAACTAAGAACTTTGAAAAAAGGTTTGACGAAATGCTAACAAGAATAGACAATATAGAGAGGAATATAAATGAACTAACAGAGTTGAAAAACACAACACAAAAACTTAGTGAAATATGCACAAGTTTGAATGGCCGAATTGTTCAAGCAGAAGAAAGGATATCAGAGGTTGAAGACCTACTTAATGAAATAAAACGAGAAGACAAGAATAGAGAAAAAAGGACAAAAAGGAATGAGCAAAGTCTCCAAGAAATATGGGACTATGTGAAAAGACCTAATTTACGTTTGATAGGTGTACCTGAATATGACGAAGAGAATGAATCCAAGCTGGAAAATACTCTTCAGGATATTATTCAGGAAAACTTTCCCAATCTAGCAAAGCAGCACAATATTCAACCCCCAGGTAATACAGAGAACACCACAAAGATATTCCTCAAGAAGAGCAACCCCAAGGCACATAATCATTAGATTCACCAGGGTTGAAATGAAGGAGAAAATACTAAGGGCAGCCAGAGAGAAAGGTCAGGTTACCCACAAAGGGAAGCATATTAGACTTACAGCAGATCTCTCAGCAGAAACCCTACAAGCCAGAAGAGAATGGGGGCCAATATTCAACATCCTTAAAGAACAGAACTTTCAGCCCAGAATTTCATATCCTGCCAAACTAAGCTTCACAATTGAAGGAAAAATAAAATCTTTTATGAACAGGCAAGTACTCAGATTTTATTACCACCAGGCCTGCTTTACAAGAGCTTCTGAAAGAAGCATTATACATAGAAAGGAACAACCAGTATTAGCCTTTCTAAAAATATACCAAAAAGTAAAGAGCATCAACATAAAGAAGAATTTATATCAACGAATGGATAAAATAGCCAGTTAACATCAAATGGCAGTAATCCTAAATTTAAGTCGACTAAATCCCCCAATCAAAAGATACAGCCAAAACCTAATGGTATGCTACATCCAGACCCATTTCACATCCAAAGATACACAAAGACTTAAAACAAAGGGATGGAGAAAGATTTACCAACCAAATGGAGAGCAAAAATAAATAAATAAATAAAAAGCAGGAGTTGCAATTCTCGCATCTGATAAAATAGATTTCAAAGCAACAAAGATATAGTGGTAAAAGGATCAATGCAACAATAAGAGCTAATGATCCTAACACCCAGATACATAAGACTCATAAAGAGATTTAGACTCAACAAGACAGAATATTAATAAGGACATCCAGGACTTGAACTCAGATTCAGAACAAGTAAACTCAATAAATATTTATAGAGCTCTCCATTTTAAATACAAAAAATATACATTCTCCACCTTAAATACACAAAATATTGATCGGCCATTATTAATACCCATTTTTAGAATAAAGCTACATTCCCGTTTTCTCTCCCTCTTTTTCTTCGTCTTTCTTTCTCTCCTTCACTCCTTTTTTTCTTTCTTTAAAAAAAAGGAAACAAAGATCGTATTTGTATGGTGTATGCAGTAAATAGACAAAGCTACTTGTGAAAGGAGACACTTGGCCTTGGGGCTCTGGCCACCTACTGACCATCTCAAAGGCAGAGGTGATCTTTCTCTTGGTGTCCTGAGAACCCATGCTGCCACAGCACACTGGATGGAAAGCTCTGTGCTACAGAATAGAGGCCAGCCCTGGCTGCTCTGTTAGGGGAATGGGGAGCAGGTGGTTTTCTCCTAGTCTTGGAAACAGCATTCTGAAACCTCTAGTCTCCAAGCTGAGGTGCTTCTGACTTCAACCAATCTCCAAGGGACTGTAAGAAATAGGAAAGCAAGAATGCAGTCCTGTGGCTTTAGACCCTACCAGTAAGAAAGTGACTATTTAGTGCACATTCCTGTAATGACTGATTTTCACTGACAGGACTACACTGTGGCAATCCAGAAAATCTCTCTCTCTTAACCCAAATGGAGGCAGATAGACATTGGACATGTGGCATTTTTCAGAAGCTTTTCCCAACCTCCCAGACCAAGTGGGTCCCCATTATATACCTTTATAACAAGCTCTGTGCATTTCCTTCATAGCACTTGTGATAGCTTATACATATTAAATATGTATAGAGAAAAAAATGAACACAATTATTTGATGAATATACATCTCCTGCACTACATGGGAAGCTACATGAAGGCAAGGACTATGTCTGATTTTCTCACCTCTTATAACTTCAAACAACCAGCACTGGACATAGTAGGAGCTCAACTATTTGTTGAATGAATGAATGGCCATTTTCTGATCTGTGGTTTCAGTAAACAGGATCACTGCCCAGCTTTGAGCTGTAATTATCTATAATGTTTATGCACACCAGACACCCCGTGAAGAAAAGTTCCTTCTGAAATTACTATTGCCCACCTGGCCTTCATACAGAGGTGAAATTAACTGTTGCCTGAGTAATGTGATTCCCCTGTATGCCATGTGAAACCAGTGGAGATGTATTTGTTTATATACATCTTTCAAACTTCAAAAAAAAACAAAACAAAAGCACTCTTGAGAGTGATATTATATCAAGTCTGAGTCTTTGTGTGTGAATTAGTTGATCGCATCTTTTCTACCGGGGTAGTCAACAAAGGACAGATGAAGATAAGCAATCACAACTAACTCTGCTCTGGACCGCTGAAATCCGGAGAAGGCCACAAATGGTTGATAGATAGTGACCCCTGGTGGTTACTGGTGTGGAGGTGGGGGCTGCAGACTGATCTGGCTCAAACAGGAGCAGATGGGGACACACCTGAGGGTGTGGGCTGCTCCTTCCAGTGGCACTTACCTGAGCAGCAAAAAGCTTAGCACCAAAGAAAGGCCATTTCCTGGCCACCGTCAGGTAGATGCGGATGCACTCAGGAGGGGAGCAGCCTTGCAAAGCTGCCCATTTTGTGGTCAACATATCTGCCAGGTGCCTGATGTGGGAAGATGAAGAGAAATGGTGCCAGTCAAGTGCCAACATGTCTTCATTCCAGCTCTGAGGCCTCCCCACAGTGACCTGCTGCAAGACCTTGCAGCCTACCTACCTCAGCTGTTCAGGGGGGACCCCATGTCTATATCGCCTGGGGTAGAACCTGTCCAGGACCTGCTGGAGGAGATGCTGAGCCTTGGCAGGGGATGTGCCTCCAGGGCCTGGCAGGGCAGGCTTCTCCAAGTCCCCATATTCTACCTGTGGTAGAAGCACATGGAGACCAGTCAAAATCTGAAGGTGGATGGGCCAGGTGGGAACTGTTGAGAGGTGAAATAAGCCATTATTTTATTGCCCTATTGGTGGGGTGCGAGTGGATGTAAAAAATACTTTGGAAAAACATTTCATCTCAAGTTTTATAGACACTAGAGAAACAAACTTAGGGCCCTAGAATATTAGAGATCACCGACTAACTTTGATTTTGCAGCTGAAGCGAAGTGCCTTTTCCAAAGACAATTGGTAGCAGACAGGGGAAAACAATGTGGAAATTCTAGCTTCCAGTCAAAAAATATGGCTATAGAATTGAAGATGCTGCAGATAGAAGAGTACAGCAGAGTGTTCTAAACGTGGCCTTTGGAGTTGGACACCTGCCGCAAATCCCAGCTTTATGTCTCTGATCAAGTTACTTAAACTCGCTGAGCTTCAATTTCCTCATCTATTAGGTGGGAATAGGATGTATGCTATATACATACATATATATATATATATATATACACACACGCAAGGGAGATTGCATATATGCTTAGTACAGGGCCTCCCATACAGTATTGCTATTGATGTTTATAATTATAAAGATCAGCTGTTATTGTTTCCCCTTACTTTCCAGCATGTAAATCCAGATTTTTCTCATTCTTTTTTAAAAAATATTTTTGATTTTCTTTTTTTTTTTTTGAGACATAGTTTCGCTCTTATTGCCTAGGCTGGAGTGCAATGGCGTGATCTTGGCTCACTGCAACCACTACCTCCCGGGTTCATGCAATTCTCCTGCCTCAGCCTCCCAAGTAGCTGGGATTACAGGCATGCACCACCATACGTGGATAATTTTTGTATTTTTAGTAGAGACACGGTTTCTCCATACTAGTCAGGCTGGTCTCAAACTCGCAACTCATGGTCTCAAACTCCCATGACATGAGCCACCATACCTGGCCCCAATATTTTAAATTCTGTGGGTATATAGTAGGTGTCAGACTCTGTTATGGGAGCCAGGAAGGTATTCCAGGTAAACTTTATAAACCATCAGACCTAAGTAGAATTAGGAAGAGGAACACACATTCAGACTTGGGACTCTCCTTCCCATTACATTTAGAAGGCCACTGGCCTAATTCTACTTAGGTCTAATGGTTTATAGAGTTAATCACATATATGATGCATTATCCAGGTATCATACTTACTACAACCCTGTGGAGGCTGGCAGAGAAGTGTTTGTTTATTTTGAGACAGAGTTTTGCTCTTGTTGCCCATGCTGAAGTGCAATGGTGTGATCTTGGCTCACTGCAACTTCCACCTCCTGGGTACAAATGATTCTCCTGCCTCAGCCTCCAAGTAGCTGGGATTACAGGTGCCCACCACCACACCCAGCTAATTTTTTTTTTTTTTTCAGCAGAGACATGTTTCATCATATCAGTCAGGCTGGTCTCAAACTCCTGACCTCAGGTGATCTGCTTGCCTTGGCCTCCCAAAGTGCTGGGATTACAAGTATAAGCCACTGCTCCCAGCCAGGTATTTTTGTTTTTGGTATACAGAGAAGGAAACTGAAGCATAGACAAGTGAAGTGACTTGGCTAAGACCTCACAATTGGAAGGTGTATAGGACTCAAACCCAGGTCTCTGGATTCCAAGTCCAGCCTTCTGCACACATCCTGTATCTGCAGTGAGTGAGGAGCTCTGCTCTGTAGGAGTCAGCTGCTCTCCATCCCAGAGATGGCAAAGCTGCCCTCTTCTGGGCACCACAGGATCTGCAGAATCTCTCCAGTGTTTCAGGCTGCAGGGTGCATTCATTCTAACTGGTAACCTGACTCTCCTGCTTCCCGAACAGAACCTTACCTGGGCCATCAGGGCAGCCATCTCAAGAGCCAACTCCTTGTTGACAGGAAACCTCCCTGCCAATATCTCTCTACTAGTTTGAGAGGCAAGGAGCAGCCGTTCTCGGTCGGTCTCCCCTTTGACTTGACTGCGAAAGTACAGCCTGCAGGGAAGAGTAAGAAGCCAGGACTCAGCAGGGATCGGGCTTTCTATGGGTCTGTTACCTTTATTTCCAAAAAGAGAAACTACTCTTCTCACATTATTTGTGAGCCTATTTTGTATTGCCTCCAGAAACATGTAACCAAGTAAGACACAGCAGATGCAGGGCCATCCTGATCCCATGCCAACAAGAGGACATGGTTCATTCTGAAGACACTGTTAAACTTCCTGCATTTGGTAAGGGGAATCTGGTACCTGGAATTATAGATTAGGGGACTGGGTGAGGTAATACACTATTGGAAACTATTTGCCTGGAGACATACTGAGATGAAGGGATGGGATTTTCTTACTTGAATTGATAGAAAGGATGTCTACTTCTGTATTTTCTGGAATTGGTATAGGAGCTACTTATTCTTTAAACTGTGGCACAATGTCAGCTCACTGCAACCTTGACCTCCTGGGCTTAAGTGATCCTCCCACCTCAGTCCCTCCCTCCGAGTAGTTGGGACTACAGGTTCATGCCACCATGCCTGCTAATTTTTGTATTTTTTGTAGAGGTGGGGTTTTGCCATGTTGCTCAGGCTGGTCTGGTCTGTTTTCTTGGCAAATGTACATGCATTTGTGCATGCATGTGCACATGTGTGTGTCTGTGTGTGTATATACACACACACGAAGTACAGGGAAGGCTGACAGAAGGCCTGAGCTGCCCAGGGTTTCATAGAGTATTAGCAGCAGAGCCAGCCTGAGCCCCAGCTAGTACTGCCAGGCTGTGTTATATCTGTGGGCCCCTCCCCTGTATGGATAGGCCGTCTAGTCGAGGAGATAATGAGCTGCACCCAGTGGCAGCCTTCATGTTTGGCCCCACCCTTGTGCAGTGCTTAGGACCTGTTCTTGTACATCAGCTTCACGACACGTGTCCCACCCTCAGACTTCCTGGGGTGCAGCTCCTTCTGGGTTTGTTCCCACTTGGAGATGGCATCGCAGATCTTGAAAAGGCAAAAGAAGAAAGTCAGAAAATTTCCTGATAAGGGGAGAAGGGATCAAGGTCCAGCCAGGGCAGGACTCAGAGCAGAGGAGCAAAGAAAGCTAAGGAAAGGTCCTCCTGACAGGAGGCCAACCTGCAAAGCCTCATGCTTCCTGGACCCAAGGTGGCCGCGGCTCGCTCACAAACAGAGGGAACCCTGGGCAGGGTAAGCAATAAAGTAAGAAATCTGCCCTGCTGGCCTCACCAACTGAGGGGCCTCCCCAGAGGCTAGGCAAAAGCCCCCTGGCCTTTGATCACCAGCTCCATTTCCATTCCACTGACTGCTGGTCTCCTCTTCAACAAATATGCCCAGAGGCCTACCGTGTAACAAAGGCTTACAGATGCCTAGACACTGGCAAAGAAGGTATGTGGCATAGTTTTTCCAGGCAATGTTAAAAGACCATAGAAGCCTTTGTCCTGTTGCCTTAAAGAAAGTACACACTGGAGCCAAATATGCATCAGAGTGCTAGAGCACCTTCTCACAAACACTGATCCCTCGTGGCAGTAATCCCAGACCACAATACAAGATTGATTTTAAGTCCCATTCAATGGCCTTTAGTTATAGGGACACCGTAAGGACCTGCCTCTTTAAAGTGTCCAACATATAAGCATGGTATAGGTCCTGGCAGAAAGGGTAAAAGTGAGGTGCTGGGTACAACATGACATCCAGGGGATCCATGCATACAGCTGAGAGCCTCTGAGTGGGTACACGTAGGCAGTGGCTTCGTGCGGCCTCCATGTCCCTACACCAAGCCAAGAAGAGACTTTTCTTCTGGATGCTGATAGCCACTTGAGGGAAGTAGGATTGTAGAGATCTTGTCCCCAGAGACAAGAGCACACAACAGCTTTTTTCTCCCTGCCCAGGTATGTTTTAGGATGTAGGCACAGAAATGCTGACCAAGGAAGCACCTTGGGCTCAGCACCAAATGAGCTACCAGTCAGGCACCCATCAGATGAGCTCTTTCCCCACCACCAATATCCCTGAGCAGGGAGGGACTCAGCTGGCTTAGTGGGAGGCTGTCACCTTGACACTTCCCTGCAGGCAGTGCTCCAGGTCCCTGCCTGAAGGATCATCCGTGAAGAGGGCAAAGCCAGAGTGGGATGGCTTTCTCATGCCTATCTCCTGGTTCATCCGCTGAAGGAACTCGTCAACCGTGGAGGAGCCGTCAAAACCAACCACCTGAGGCGGGAGAAGGTTCCGTCCCAGAGTGAACTTCCTGAGAGGAGCTCACTAGGGCTGGTGAAGGGGTCTGGGTACAGCAGGTGGAAAGGAGCAAGGGCGAATACAAGAGGCCAAAGCAAGTTGGTTTCTGTGTTCATAAGCAAAGGGCCAGTGCATAAGGGATGTGAGCCCTTCCACTGTAAACCAACTGGGCATAAGCTGGGTCCCTCCTTTACCAACAATCTTTTGGAGGCCCTTTTTTTTTTTTTTTGAGATGGAGTTTCGCTTTTGTTACCCAGGCTGGAGTGCAATGGCGCAATCTCGGCTCACTGCAACCTCCGCCTCCTGGGTTCAGGCAATTCTCCTGCCTCAGCCTCCTGAGTAGCTCGGATTACAGGCACGCGCCACCATGCCCAGCTAATTTTTTGTATTTTTAGTAGAGACTGGGTTTCACCGTGTTGACCAGGATGGTCTCGACCTCTTGACCTCGTGATCCATCCGCCTCGGCCTCCCAAAGTGCTGGGATTACAGGCGTGAGCCACCGCGCCTGGCCTGGAGGCCCTTTCTTATGCCACTTTCGTGGTCAGCATTTCAGCTTCCCTGTTCATGCAATGAGTTCATAAAATCTACTTCTGGGGCACCAGTGAAGAATCTGCCAAGCCTAAGGAGCCTTAGCATCCACCTGGCCCTGAGGTATTCGCTGGATGGTGACAGGAGAAGACTAGGTGCAAGGAGCATGCCCACCTGGTAAGTCCCATTGGTAAAGTGCACGGGGATGCTGAAGGGCAAGGAGTGGTGGAAGGGGTTGCGCAGCAGGATGGACACCACTTCCATGCGCGATGGCCTGGCTTCCCGCTCCCCAGCCTGCAGGGTCCGCTCCACTGCCCGCTGGCAGTAGGTGGCATACTGGCCAGTTTCATTTCTGAAGAGACAGAAGGAAGAGGGGAATATAATGGACTCCAGCTCATCCCTGCCACTTTGGCACCCTCGGTCCCTATCCAGACTCAGCCAGAACCAAAACTAGCTGGGGCAGGTTGTGAGAAAAGCCCTGAAGATTCTGGTCAGGGGCGTTAATTTGTCATTCAGGACCTTTATGTAGCAAATTACTGGCATGGATATTTCTTCCAAAACCCAGAGGACATAACAACAGAATAGCATTTGGGGACAGTTTGGGGACAGTGTGGCTTCAGGCGAGAGTTGCCACAGTACATCCGTGGATGCATGGATTGGTGTGCAGAGAAGCTGAAGCATGCCCAGATCCCCATGCCCCCATTTGTGCACAAGACAATGGGTGAAGTCCACGACCACTGAGCGGTCTCAGAGGATAGGAGTGATCTGGTCTGTCCTAGACTCCTCTCATCCCTTGTATTCATGCTGCAGTTGGCAGTGCTCAAATGGCAGAGGAAACAGCCAGGTTCACTCACCTGGGATCTGCGTGGCGTTGGAGCTGCTGCTTGACATACCAGAGGAAGTGATGCTGAGGCAGGAAAAGTGGAGCACACAGAGCAAGGAGCTGCCAGCACTGCCAGGGACACAGACAGCATGGGGTTAATGCTGGGCCTGTGGTACCACCTGTCCTCATAACCCTGAGCTACAGAGCCTTCAGCACTCTTCCCCCAAACCAGAGCCCCCAACCTGCTGTGGGTACTGGGATAGCCAACTTGGTCAACTGTGTCCAGAATGCAATCACCAGTCTATGTACAGACAGCTCAAGCATACGTATGCAGTGTGGAGCACAGCGGCTGCCTGCTGGCTGAGTTCACAGCATGCCGGCCCAGTCACTTCCTCCCACCTTTCCCACCTGGGTAGCCCTTGCCAATGGCTTCTGTCAGCTGCTCCACCCCTGGCATGCCCACCTGCATGAGGGAGTACTTCTGAGGTGGGCGGCAGCTGGTCTGCTTCATGAGTTGGCAGTAGATCTCACTCTGTAGCTCGGGGTGAACCAGGCAGACCTGCAGTGCGGTCTGGGCCAGGGACACATGGTAGTCCACTGAGGCAGCTTCCACCGGCACATTGATGAAGAGCTGGCAGGACTGGGAGGGAACAACAGTGAGCACAGGCAGACCTGTGTTTGGAACTGAACGGCTTGGCCATTTTCCAAGCGTTCAAGGGAGGTTCAAGTTCACTGACAACCCTTTCTAAGACGGAGCACTGTTACTGCTTGGGGGCATCTCTGCTTACTAAAAGGGGCTATGGGCTACTTTGGGATAGAATCTTTCCTTTTTAAAACGTTCTCATTACATAAACAAGGCAAATTCATTTTTTTAAAAAACAGAAAACTCAGGCCAGGTGTAGTGGCTCATGCCTGTAATCCCAGCATTTTGGGATGCCAAGCTGGGTAGATCACAAGGTCAGGAGTTCAAGACCAGCCTGGCCTAGATGGTGAAACCCTATCTCTACTAAAAATACAAAAATTGGCCAGGCATGGTGTTGGGTGCCTATAATCCCAGCTACTTGGAGGCTGAGGCAGGAGAATTGCTTGAACCAGGGAGGCAGTGAGCCAAGATCATGCCACTGCACTCCAGCCTGGGCAACAGAGTGAGACTCCATCTCAAAAACAAGAACGAAAACAAAAACAAAAAAACAAAACTCAGACGTTCACAAAGAACATGCTACAATAGGTCCAAATCTCTCAGGTCCAGAAGCAACATAAACCTGGCCTTTTCTGCTTATCTATGGGAGGAGGGGAGCGCCTCAAGAAGAGTGTTCATTGGCATTTCCCAAGGACTGTGCATGATGTTCCAGAGCTGCTTCCCTCCCAGCAAGAGGATTATATTCCTGCCATTCAGGAAGTGACAGGGATCTCAGGAAGTTTCCTTCCTTTCCTCTCCAAATCCCTCTGTGGGTTGCCCCCCCAACTGCACAGGTCTTCTCCGCTCAAGTATTGAGAATATCTTGCTGGTGGGCCTGGCCTCCATACCAGTTTACCTTGAAGAGCTTGAGTGCCTCCGTCTGTAAGGCCTCCGAGGGCAGGGTGGTGAGGGAGGTGTACAGGCCATCTTTGCTGTAGCACAGCATGGGGTGCCTCCAGAGCGGCGAATCTGCCCAAAGCACAGCACCAGAGAGCAGGGGCAGTTACTACTGAGAGGTGACTCACCTCCCACTCACCCCCAACTTTAATTTGTGGGAAAGATAGCAGTTTATCTATCTTGGAATAAACTTGGAAGACACTTGGGTTGTGCTGGGTTTATCATCCATAGGGGTATGCAGGTGGGCATTGCAATGAAAACCCTCATATACATGGCCATCCTCATGGAATGGCAGTAGCGGTGAGTATGCAAGGTTTTGGGTGTCTGAGTGCAGATGGATGTGTGCAGGGGAGGCGTCTTTCTTACTGTGTCAGGTCTGGATGGAGGAGCATATGAATCGGTCAGAAATACACAAGCCTCAGAGCAGTAGCAAAGGGGTGTGTGTGGTATGTGCCATTAGTTCCTCAGGGCCCTGAGAATCAGCAGCAAAATAAAGACTGCAAACAGGTTGGCCTGATCCCAGTTTAGGCTTCACTTATTGATTAACAAATTCTAACTATAAATTAACCAGCTACCTTCTTTCTTCAACCCTCTGCCCAGCCAGCAACGCTGCAGGTTGATCCAAGTAAAACATTGACCCAGGTCCCTGGAAAATCGGCTTCCCAGATAAACCCCCTCAGATGCAGAGTGGTCACCTCAGTATCTCAGCCGGAGACAGAGGGGCCCTGGAGCTTGGGATGGGAACTTCCCCTCTGTGGCTTAGATGTTTTAAAAACAGCTTCGGGGTACAACACTGCTTTCTTTGGGATCTTGACCAACAGTCACCCAGCCACCACCCTCCGACCCAAGCAGTGGTGACCACCCTTGCCTTACCTGGGTCTCCCTCACCATCCATCAGTTTTCCAATGAGCTGCTCATAGGCAGTGCCCACCTTGGCACTGCTGCCACCCGCAGCCACTGTGAGGTGGTAGAGCCACGTATCCTGGAAGAGTGTAGAAAGCCATTGGATGGGGACGGGGAGGGAAGAGTAGAGGCAAGAACTCCAAGGAGGGCTCCTCGAAGGGGCCAAGCCCATGGTGGGGTTCAGCTAGTTTGGCAGGCATGAGTCAGGGCCACCTGGAAAGACTGAGGATCAGGTGAACATGAACCCAAGTTTCCAAATTTGCGATTCTATCATGTGACCTCAGTGAAGCAATGTTGGTCATTGGGAATAAATTCGGTATAAAGGAATATTCCCATTCAGAGAATATCAGTTTTCAAAATATCAATAATAATAATAATAATAATAAACTTGAATTTTGGGAGGCTCAGGGGAAAGAGAGAAGGGAAGATCAGAATCACAGGTCTGAGCTTGGCCCTGGAGGCCCAGCCCCCTTCTTTACCTTTTCATGCTTGGTGCCAATGAGGAGGTAGGTGGGGCTGTGCTCTGGGGGGTGGATCACCAGGGTGCAGTGGGAGGAAAGCAACCGTCTGGTTCCTCCAGCCTCATAGTCCTCGTCTGAGTCACAGGATCGATCTACTTCCTCTATGCGTGCATCCCGCACAGGCAGGCAGCCCAGGGGTCGCTGTGGACAGGAGCCTTCCATGAATTGGAGAGCCAGTGGGGGACAGGGAGTCTCCTCTATCTGAATACATAGGCTCTGTAGAGCTGGGAATCGTGAATACGGACAGATGACAAGATGGGGAGGTGGAGACTATAGCATCCCAGCCAGGCTGGCAGCAGAACAAGGCTTGCTTGGAGAAGCACCAGAGACCCAGACAGGCAGAATCTCACACTCTGGAGGGATCCAGCCAGCTGGTTTCGTATTTATTGTGGGGTTATGTAGGGTAGGCACTTTCATCAGGACATGGAGTGATGGTCATGTGCTTTAGGGGAAGCAGGAGAGTGGATATTTTCGGGAGGCTGAGGAAGTACCTTGTCCTCATGGCTCCGATAGTAGTAGAAGCTTTTCCCAACAAGAGCACACCAGACCAGCTTGGAGTGGCCATGCTTTACCTGTAAGACAGAAATGAACTGGCATTATGAGAACTAGGTGACTCCAGAAGTAAATCCAGGCCTGGCAAAGAGAAGCCACAGGAAGACAGATTTGACCTGTGGGAAAGATGGAGATGCCATTCGGGCTCCCTACAAATGGAACCACCCCTTTTACATCGAGGGGGCCATGGTGTGCACCATGCAGCACCCCAGCCATATGGGCTATTCAGTGACCTATGACCTGCCATTAAACAATTAGCCAGGACGATCATATGTCCCCTCAAGGCATATGAAAATGGGAAGAACTTGTTAGGTGGCAGAGGCCACAGTTGTCAGGATGCCATGAGGGAGGGAGGGAAAACAGCAGGCTGAAGCCCTGGGACAGCCATGAATCATGAGGAAACAGAAGCTGCACACGGGCGGAGGAGGATGACACAAACAGACTGAACGGGAACCAGAGGCACACTGCGAGCCTGCCAGCCCTGAGCTTGCTGAGCACAAGTAACTTTGGTTCCTGCTGGTGTTCTGGTCTAGCTAATGCACTTCCTTGTTAACTTCCATTTTCTTGGGCTTAAGAAGCACTTCTCTGTTCTTTTCAGCCAGAAGAGCCCTCACAAAAATGTCTTTGGGCAGGCCTGGGGTTCTTTAAGCCTCTGAGCGGCCATACGTGCCTCGCCCAGGTCTCTTCTTTCCACTATTAACACTGGGGCGGGTACAAGGTGGGGGTGGGGGACAACCCCTAATAACCTCAAAATGGAGGCAAGGTACTCCTTTCCCTTCTCTTTCTTGAGAACAGTTGTTCCAGCAACCATGATTTGTTTCCAGGGAATGACTCGCCATCACCTCGTGTGGCCTGGCCACGTTTGAGGTCTGGCCAGCGAGTCACTGTGAGGAAACTCCCAGAGAAAGGAGCCCCGTATAAGGAGGGAAGCCACCACACTTGGCACCCCACTCTTGGCTCCCCTGACTCACAGGAGGTGCCCATTCCTGCCCTATCACCCCACCCTGTACCTTGGTCAGCCAGCCCTTGACGGTGGGCTTAGTGCCACCCTGAGGCAGTGCTGGAGGCCCGGTGGCCTGCACCTTTAGCAGGCTCTGGAGTACCCGGATCCACTCCTCCAGCAGGCTGGGTGAATCTGCCGTCAGGTAGTAGGTTTTCTTCTCAGAGATGAGCTGTGGAGGCCGAGATGTTGGGTAGGGGCAGCACGCCGGGAGAATGGAGTAACCAGGACCTGGCTCCGAGGTGGCACCTGTCCCTGAACCCAACGGGCTGGCCTTCTGCCTGCCCTAGTGCTCCCTCCCTTCTTTTCCTCCTCAGCTTCTTCTCCCTGTCTCTCCTTCCCTCACTCCATCTCTCCTGTTTTGTCTCACCTGCCTTTCTTGTACTCACAAGCTAGGATCACATCTAAATGTTGATCTAAAGTCTTTCACTCATGCTCATTTGGCCCCATCTCTGTCTCACTCATAGACATATCCAAACCCAGCACCTCTTCTGTCTAAAATACTGGCTGCTAGGAGTGTGCTCACCTGAAACGTCTGTGAACCCTCCCCTCGAACAATTTGGCAACGGGAGTTCAGATCCACTTGGCCTTGAGGGTTCCGGATGACATCACTCTGTAAAGGAATACGGAGGAGAGCGGCTGAATGTGGAGCCTTTCCGGAGCATCTCATTTACCCTCAGATCTGACTCCAGGCCATAGGCAAAGGGAACATGACTCCCAATATTCCGGCTGTGTTATGATGGGTAACTTATTCTAGATTCTGGCTATAGTTAAATGGAGCCTTAATCAGAAGCATGAGTCCTTCTAATCCAAGCCTGAAAAACAATAGAATGAGCCTTTAAAACTGGGTCAGACCAAGTATGGCAAATAAGTGGCACATAAATTCTTATCCTTTCCAGTGCTACTGCAGACCTTCCAGTCAATCACAGAGTGCTTTCTCACTGAGCAATACAGGCCCAAAGTCCTTCACATGATGTTCAAGACAGCCACTACCAACCAACTGGAGTTGCACAAGAAATGAGGCCTTTTGCTGTCTTTGAAACATTAAAATTGGGCTGGCCACAGTGACTCTTACCTGTAATCCCAGCACTTTGGGAGGCCTAGACAGAAGGATCACTTGAGCTCAGGAGTTCAAGACCAGCCTGGGTAATAATACAGTGAGACCCCAGTTCTATAAAAATTTTTAAAAATTAGCTAGGCGTGGTGCAGGCCTGTAGTCCCAGTTACTCAGGAGGCTGAGATGGGAGGACTACTTGAGCCTAGAAAGTTGAGGCTACAGTGAGCCATGATCACACCATTGCACTTCAGCCTGGGTGACAAAGCTCAGACTCTGCCTCAAAAAAAAAAAAACATTAAAATTGGTTCTGCAGGGGGTCCTATCAAACTGGTTCCCAATAACCAATGCTTCTTAATTCCAAACAGTGGAGGAAGGAGGTAGAGGAAGCAATTAGAACAATGGTGTGTTAAACAACCCAGATGATATGAAGGCAGCCTGGGAACAGCTCTTTATAGATGAAGAAGGAGTTGCCCAGCCAGCTGGCCTAGAACTGCCTTCGACAGTCTCTATGCCCTATTCATTCTGAGAACTCATGGCCCGGCTGAGGTCCCCAGGTGTGGCTCACAGCCTCAGTGCGGTTGCTTCTCCCCACCTGCCAGACCTTTGCCCTCTGGCCTTGGGCCACACTTCCCCTTCTCCATCCCATCTGACACAGTCCAGGGTCCGACAAGGAATCACTTTGACTGCAGTGCCGGGCGGGGAGGCTCTCACCGGGGACTTGTAGTACATAATCTGTCCCTGTCTCAGGACAAACCAGCGCCTCTTCCACGTCTTCATCCGGCTCCCCATTTTCAGTAGGTATCCTGACTTCTCCAGTGACTCCTGAAAGGTGGAAGGGCAAGAGGGGGAAGAGGAAGAAAAGGGAAATCACTCAGGGCTCCCACACATCACACAGGTCCAAGTGGTCCAGCTGCCTTACTGCTCTGTTATCAATTAAATACGAAATTATTGAGTACCGACTCAGTGTATTTTCAGGGTACCATGCCCTGCTACAGTTCAGAGAAGACTAAAGAAAACACGGGTGATCCTGCCAAGAAAGGGTTCCCATGCTAGCTGGGAGAAGCAGCTAGCAGAACAGGGGCTGCTAGAGGGAAAGCCTGGCCAGAGAGAGCCGACCCTGAACTGGTCTTGGAAGACAGGTCAGCTTCTCCCTCAAAGACTGGGAGAAGGGAGAAGACCATTCCAGGCAGCACAGAGGGGAGAGAGGGCAAGGCAGGTCTGGGCAACCATGGGCACATCAGCCAGGCAGGACTAGAGGGTCACGGAGCCAGGGAGATGATGCGGCAGCAGAGAGGTGTAGGGCAAAGGACAGGGAATTACATCTGGATTGAATGCTAGCCCTGGCATGTAGTGGCACAGCTTGGAGCCTCAGGCTTCTCATCCATAAAATGGGGTAATAACCCCGAGAGGATTGTGAGGACAAATGAGACAATGCCTAAAAACTGAGCCCAGTGCTTGGCACGCTCTGAGTTCAATGTACCTTAGCTTGCATTAGCATTCCCGGCAATAAAACGACGTCACATATGGGAAACTCAGGGGGGCCTGGTGGGCCATAGTGGGCTCTCAGTAATTGGCCATTGCTGGCATTCCAGGAGCTCTCTGGGCTCTTTCCTTCCTTCCTCATGGGGTCTGTGTGTGTCTGACTCCATAAGTGTACACTCACCAGCCCACACCCCCCATCCCCTAATCCTAGGGACCCCTCACCTCATGCAGCTGCTGCCTGTGTTTTGTGCTGAGGGCACCAGCAGCCTCTGCTGACATTCTGCTCCCACCCTGCCCCAGGCCCCGTTTCCTGGCTTACCCCGCCCAGGCCCAGCCCGTCAGTGGAGTAGGATGAGGTGCGCTGCAGTTTGTGCTCAGGCTCTGAGTAGTCACCGTCCAGTGAGCAGGCGTCCGGGGGGATGGCGTAGTCACCCTCGGAGCTCAGTGAGGACATGGAGACGCCTTGCCGCAGGAGGAGGAGTCAAGGCCCAGGTCCCATACCTCTCTGACTCGCAGCCCAGGAGCTGCTGAGCCTTGACCAACCACCCACCCGGGACCCAGTCTCTGGGGCTGGGGGTGGAGATGCTGGGGGTCACGAACCCAGATCAAGTGGGGATTCCCTTGTTCAAGTGCCCATGGGAAGGGTGGGGGGTTCCTTGCTGCTGCACCTTGCCCCTGCTTCCCTTCTCTGTACCTCTCTTGAAGGCCCGGGGGCTGCCTAGTCCGCTGGTCTTCCTGGACTCAGAGCAGGGGACCGAGATTCGAAAACTTGCCTGAGAGCTGCAGTCATCGTCAGACCCCGAGGATTCATCCATAAAGGGCATGTTGCTGATCTGTGCGGCTCTCTGCAAGATAGGCCACCCCTGCTCACTGCAGCTCAGGCTGCAAACAGCCTTCTCCCACCCTGCAGCCTGCACTCCTGCTCCAAGTACCCATGGTGTGACCAACCCCCAGCCGGAACTCTGAACAGACAACTGTCCAGTGTAGGGTCCCTCCTGGCCTCATTCCTGTGATGACCTCCATGCTTCTCAGGTCTCCCTTCCCCCACACTATCTTCTGTGGCCCCCAAAGTAGCTGCCCATCCCAACTGAATGCCCGCCCACTGTGACCCTCACTCCTTGCCACTAGGGGGCCAGAAGGCTACACCACATACCAAGTGTGCCACACGAGCTTTAAAAAATGTGTGGGGACATCACAACAATCAATGATTGCATCTCAATTGGCAGACATTTAAAGTGACTGATTATCTCAGTGTTGGTGAGAATGTGGGGAGAAGATGGGGGAAAGAAAACTCTAGTGTGTAAGGCATTTTTAGAAGGTAATTTGGCAGTACCTGTCAAAAATTAAAACATGCATGTAATTTGCCCAGAAATCCCACTTCTAGAACTCTGCCCTACAGAAATATGTATGTATATATAAGTTTGCAAATATATATTTGCACAGTGATGTTCATGGCAACATTTACTTTAGAGTCACTGGAGGAAAGCTTAACATATTAATAGTTATGGTGCTTTGATACCAAGGGTACTAGACACTCATAGGAGGAGGAGGTAGAGACCAGGCACTGTGGCTCATGCCTGTAATCGCAGGCTGAGGCAGGCAGATCATGAGGTCAAGAGATCGAGACCATCCTGGCCAACATGGTGAAACCCCATCTCTACTAAAAATACAAAAATTAGCTGGGCGTGATGGTGCGTGCCTGTAGTCCCAGCTACTTGGGAGGCTGAGGCAGGAGAATGGCTTGAACCCAGGAGGCAGAGATTGTAGTGAGCTGAGATTACACCATTGCACTCTAGCCAGCAACAGAGCTAGACTCTGTCTCCAGGAAAAAAAAAAAAAAAAAAAGAGGAGGAGGTAGGGAAAGATGACCTGACGTGGTTAGGTGAACAGGCAATGCATAGAATGACATGTATATGAGTGCCTTTTGTGTAGACACATGAGAGAGAGTGTGCATGCATATTTATAAATGCATCAGAGGGCCTTACTGAATAAACACTAAAACATTCATGATAGCTTCCTCTGGGCTTAGGAATTAGGGAAAAGCCATGTGAGAGGAAATGTCACTTTTGTTTTTTATTATTCTATAAAAAGTTTTATCAAGTATTACTATGATGATTCAAAAACCAGTAATAAAGACAAAGATGTCTATGTAAATGTTGCAATATCTGATTTTTGTTTAAAAAATGTAGTGATCTTATTGGAATATAAGTTGGAACATACCTAAATAATTCCAGAAGGAGCCCCACTACCCTCTGGGACCTGGGGTGCGGGGCAGACATGAGAAAAGAGGCGGAGAAGATGTAGAGCAGGCATAGGCTTAGCCTTCTTACTTTGCCCATGTTCATACTGATTCAAATTTTTGTAAAGGTAGAATTTTTATAACAACCTAATAAACAATAAAGCAAAATGAGATATGGCAGGCTGAGTTACGTGACCAGGGTCACCATGTGCAGAAGCCTGGCCCTAGAGCCACGCCCCAGTCATTGGATGCTGAGGCCAGGGGCCTTTGCTGATGAGACACCCCCTCTTTGTGCAGCAGTTTCTTACCCCCTTCAGGGCTGTGTAGACAGGCACAGTGACATTCTTGTAGACCAGGCCAGAGAAAGACCCAGGGGAAGCAAGGGCAGGAGGGCTTGAAGCTGAGCAGGGAAGAGAGGAATGAGATTACTCAAGGGCATAACCCAGGAAGGGGTGCGGAGGAAACAGAGAACTGCGCAATTGGCATTCCTCCAAGGAGCAGGTTGGTGACAGATCTCAAGAGAGGGGCCAAGTCCCTGTTCATCGTCTGGCCTTGACTCCCTTTGGGGACCATGATCTCCATGTGGTAAGGGATCCATTACAACAGAATCCAAGTCTTACCCTTTAACTGTTTTCTCCTCCATGAGGCTTGCACAGTGTCCCACTATTGCAGATGTGAGTTACACATCATGCGGCTATGGGACCACCCCCCAGCCCTCGCTGTGGAGATTTGGTGGCTGGCTAGTGAGGAGCCAGTGAGTGGGGTTCACGCAAATCAGAACACTTGGGGCTCCTCTCACCCATGGCCCTGGCACTGTAGAAGGGAAGCCTGTGCAGGTGGGAGGCTGGGCTGGAGGCCCCCATCTCAGGTCCCTTCCAGCTCTGTGATGGCTACTTCCCTGTGATGAGCTGAACCTGTACGACTTCCCTTTCCCTCCTAGGCAGGCCTTGGTGTGATTTCACCTGAACTTCACCAGCTGGGGAGGGGAACAGGGTGGCAGGCAACCCTGGCCCTGGGCATTGCTTGGAGTCTTCTCCTCCTCATTTGCCCACCTGCCTACCTTGGATGTTTGGTGCCTCCAAGCCTCACTTGGGACTCACCGCAGCAGGCAGTATTAGTTCTGGGAGACACATCTGAGAGCCGCATGCCTGATGTGGCCACAGCATAGATCCGGCTCTCCTGAAACAAGAGGTCCCAGGAGGGTCAGGGCCCAGCATGATGCCCACCCCACCCTCTCCAGGCATGTGCAGGAGAAACCATAGCTTTGGGGTGGGCAGACCTGCAGCTGTCAGTGACTGGCTAATGAATCTTGGCTAAGTTACTTCATTTCTGAGCCTCATTGTCCTCTGCTCTAGAATGGAGTTGTAATAATACTTACCTTTCAGGCTGCTGTGAGAATCCAGTGAAATATTTAATGTAAGCATTTAACACCTGGAATATAAGCAGTGCCCGACAGGTCCCTCTCTTGCCTCCACCCTTCATCATTGAGGCAAAGGAGGTTCAAGAGGAGATGGGTCAGTAACCTGTTGCTCTGAATCCTGCCCATTTTAGAGACCCTTGGGTCTCAGGATCTCACCCCCAGATTTTGGGGTTATTGATAATGAGGAAGCCACTGGGGCCACATGACAAGGGCTCTTTTGTAAGCCAGTTGTTTGGAACTTGGGGCATATTTTTTAAAAATTCTCTATCACTTATTTTTTTTTAAAATTATTTTATAGGCTGGGCATGGTGGCCTACAGCTGTAATCCCAGTACTTTGGGAGGCCAAGGTGGGTAGATCACCTGAGGTCAGGAGTTCAAGACCAGCCTGATCAACACAGAGAAACCCTGTCTCTACTAAAAATACAAAATTAGCCAGGCTTGGTGGCGCATGCCTGTAATCCCAGCTACTTGGGAGGCTGAGGCAGAAGAATGTCTTGAACCTAGGAGGTGGAGGTTGCAGTGAGCCAAGATTGCGTCACTGCACTCCAGCCTGGGCAACAAGAGCACTCTGTCTCAAAAAAAAAAAAAAATTATTTTATTATTTGTTTTTTAAGTTCCAGGGTACATATGCAAGATGTGCAGGTTTCTACATAGGTAAATGTGTGTCATGGTGGTTTGCTGCACCTAATGACCCATCAACCTAGGTATTAATCCCAGCATGCATTAGCTCTTTTCCCTAATACTCTCCCCCTACCACCCTCCCCTGATAGACCCCACTAAGTGTTGTTCCCCTCCCTGTGTCCATGCGTTCTCATTGTCCAGCTCCCACTTATAAGTGAGAACATGCGGTGTTTGGTTTTCTGTTCCTGCGTTAGTTTGCCAAGGATAATGGCTTCCAGTTCCATTTGTGTCCCTGCAAAGGACAAGGCCTCATTTCTGTTTATGGCTGTATAGTATTCCATGGTGTATATGTACCACATTATACAGTCTACCATTATGGGCATTTGGGTTGGTTCTATGTCTTTGCTATTGTGAATAGTGTTATAATGAAAACATGTGGGAAGTTAGGGCACATTTTCTTCCCCACAGGAATAATGAATGTCATATCATGGCTAGGCTTTCGGGCCAATCTACAAAACCTATTTAGCCCAACAGGACTCCAGAACCCCCATCTGGAAGACACTTGTATGGGAGAATGCCTGGGGCCCCTGGGTGTGAAGTAGGCAATTGGCCACAGGCTCCTACTTCAAAGGAGCCTTTCCTAAGGCTCTGTTTGTTCATAAACAACCCACATGGCTCCCTGTGCCTTCTGTATCTGTTTGTTCCATTGAGCCTAAAGGAAAACAAAGGTGACCAGTCGGCCAGCCTTTGGAATAATGTCCTGCTGGCTCAGGGAGGCAACTAGATATGCTGTCACCTGGTGGGGTCAGATGGGCTAGGAGATGGTGTTGGAAGGGAGGTGGTTGCCTACTGGGGTGTCTTCCCATAGAGGAGCAGCAGCCCTGGGGCAACTGGGAGGAGAGAGAGCAGAGCTGATGAGAGCAGCCATGAGACACTGAGATAACTGGAGGGGCAGCAAGGCAGGAGACAGAGGGGCAATGAGAAAGGAGGCCAAGGCAGGAGACAGAGGGGCAATGAGAAAGGAGGCCAAGGCAGGAGACAGAGGGGCAATGAGAAAGTAGGCCTAGGCAGGAGACAGAGGGGCAATGAGAAAGGAGGCCAAGGCAGGAGACAGAGGGGCAATGAGAAAGGAGGCCAAGGAGGGCCCCTGCAGCGGGGCAGGGAGTTTCTGTGCTTGTGTAGGGCAGATACACTGGAGCCAAGTAAAATTAGGCATAGAAAGGATTATTTTTGCCCACAGCGGTCATGGAATTTTAACCAAGGACAGATAGTCCTCTAACTTTGCAGAGGAAATGAAACTGAAGCTTGAAGGATTTAGGTTAAACAAAACCTAGAACTGTTTGACAAAAGGTTATCTAATGCCTAACTCACAAGGTTGTTTTAAGGATTAACCGGAAAAAGGGCTTTCCAAATTCTAAGGTACAGAAGTATTTCTCATGCCCTCAGATTGAGAAATGTCCTTCTCTGAATTTCCAGTCTTTGTTTCCCCCCCAGATGGTTACTGCTCCATTCTTCTGCCCGGGAGAGAGAGAGGCTGGGCTGTCTTGGCCACTGTGATTTCCTAAGCTCTCCCTGGGACAGGAGTGATCATGCCTCAGGGGCCTGGGAAGGAGCTAGCATGGTGTCTTGTTTTTCCCCAGGAGCAAGTTACAAAGGGGACTGTAAACAGGATGAAATCTCCTTACATTCCTTTGGCTGATCCTTTGGTCCTCAGGACCTAGCTGGGAGCAGGGAGGGTCTGTGGGAAGACCTGATGCTGCCCCTTAATACCTTCATTGCCAGAGATCAGCTGATGTTCATGGTGAGAATGTCATTTGATGCATTTTCTATACAGAATAAGAGGAGAGAATAACTCCTCATCTCCCCATTCCTCCTTTCCTCCTCCGCCCCCTCTCTTGCACACACACTTAACCTGTTCAGATAGAGCACAAAACCTACTCTTTTTCTTTTTCAAGACAGGGTCTGGCTCTGTTGCTCAGGCTGGAGTGCAGTGACAAGATCTTGGCTCACGGCAACCTTCACCTCCCTGGGCTCACACCTTCCTTCCACTTCAGCCTCTTGAGTAGCTGGGACTACAGACATATGCCACCATGCTCAGCTAATTTTTTATTTTTTTTGGTAGAGACAGGGCTTTGCCATGTTGCCCAGGTTGGTCTTGAACTTCTGGCTCAAGAGATCTGCCTGCTTCTGCCTACCAAAGTGCTGAGATTACAGGCGTGAGCCACTGCACCTGGCCCAAGGCCCACACTTAAGCTATCATGGTGAATGGCTGTATTTTGGCAAAATGGCAAAGTGAGGAACACTTCTCTCTGGTAGCAGCTGCACATTCCTTGTCTGACCACTCCCTACTCCCAACCTCTGTGTTCAGACTCCAGAGCAAGAAGAGGGCCAGGAGCCCAGGGGACCTGCGCTTTTCCATCTCCTAGTCTTCCTGCTGCACCCCACTCTTGGCTCAACTGGTCTCCAGTCTTACAGGTGCCCTTTTAACACCCAGAAGCTGGTCCACAGTCACTGCTAAGGAAACAGCCCAAAAGTATAGGGCTATGCACCTCCCAAACCAGCATTTCTTTATTTTGTTTTGTTTTGTTTTGTTTTTGAGACATTTCCCTCTCCTCTGTTACCCAGGCTGGAGGGCAGCGGCACAATCTCATCTCACTGCAACCTCCACCTCCAAGGTTCAAGCAATTCTCCTGTCTCAGCCTCCTGAGCAGCTGGGACTACAGGCGCATGCTAACATGCCCAGCTAATTTTTGTATTTTTAGTAGAGAGAGTTTCACCATGTTGGCTAGGCTGGTCTCAACATCCTGACCTCAAGCGATCTACCTGCCTCTGCCTCCCAAAGTGCTGGCATTATAGGCATAAGCCACTGTGCCCAGATTCAAACCAGCATTTCAGAAGGAGGCCCTAGGAGGTAAATGCTGAAAATACAGGTCTTCTGAGCAGTGGTGTCGGGCGAGTGCACCCTGATACCACCCCTTCTCCCAAATGACCTCATTCCCCCTGCTGCCAGGAGCCAACGCTTAGATGTCCCCCATGGTACTGCTCTACAACCCAGCAGCATCTGTGTGTGTGTGGGGATGTCTGCCCATAAATAAAAGACTGACGTTTGCTCTGGCAATGACCCTTAAGAGGCAGTACAGCTGGACCTACATTTAAAGCTTCAAAGCAGCTGGACCTATATTTAAAGCCTGCCTCTCAGGCCGGATGAGGTGGCTCTCATGGCTGAGGAAGGAGGATCACTTGAGGCTATGAGTTTAAGACCAGCCTGGGAAACATAGGGATACCCCATCTCTACAAAAAATTTAAATAATTAGCCAGGCATGGTGGCACACATCTGTAGTCCCAGCTACTCAGGAGGCTGAGGTGGGAGGATCCCTTGAGTCCAGAAGTTGAAGGCTGCAGTGGGCTGTGACTGTGCCACTGCACTCCAGCCTGAGTGACAGAGTAAGACCCTGTTTCTCAAGTAAATAAATAAATAAAGCCTGGCTCCCTCACTAACTACTACATGACCTTGGGCGAGTACCTAAGCCTGTGGGAACAGTAGCTTCCTGACCTGTAAAAGGGAGAAATTGCACCGTACTCCTTGCAAGGAAAGGAGTCTTCCCACAGGCTATATGTGAAGGCCCTAATACCCACATGTCATCCTCACTAGTGACCTGTGAAATGTCATTTTTATAGCTTGTCCCATTTTTATTTTAACTTTTTATCATGGAAAATGTCAGTCACAGGGCTGGACATAGTGATTCATACCTGTAATCCTAGCATTTTGGGAGATCAAGGTAGGAGGACAACTTGAACCTAAGAGTTCAAGACCAGCCAGGGCAACATAGTTAGATCTCATCTCCACAAAATATTTAAAAATAGCTTGGCATGGTGGTACACGCCTGTAGTCCCAGCTACTGGGGAGGCTGAGGTGGGAGGATTGCCTGAGCCGAGGAAGTTGAGGTTGCAGTGAGCCGTGATCTCACCATTGCACTCCAGCCTGGGCAACAGAGCAAGATTTTGTCTCAAAAACAAAAGGAAAAGAAAAAAAAAGTCAGCCTGGCCAACACGGTGAAACTCTGTCTCTACTAAAAATACAACAATTAGCCAGGCATGGTGGCACATCCCTGTAGTCCCAGCTACTTGGAAGGCTGAAGTAGGAGGATTGCTTGAGCCCAGGAGGTGGAAGTTGCAGTGAGCCAAGACTGTGCCACTGCACTTCAGTCTGGGTGACAATGTAAGACAATGTGCCAATTAAAAAAGAATGACCTCATATGTGCCCATTACCCAGCTCTGCAAAGATTAATGATGCGTGGCCTGTGATGCTTCATCTGTGTCCCTACCCCTGGCCACCAGATCATTGCTTCTGAATTATTTCTACCAGACAGATGTCGACATTTTATTCCCAAGTAAGTTGCCTATAATCCCAGCACTTTGGGAGGCTGAGGCAGGCGAATCACTTGAGGTCAGGAGTTTGAAACTGGCCTGGCCAACATGATGCAACCATGTCTCTAATAAAAATATAAAAATTATCCAGGTATGGTGGCATACACCTGTAATTCCAGCTATTCGGGAGGCTGAGATGGGAGAATCACTTGAACCTGGGAGGCAGAGGTTGTAGTGAGCCGAGACCATGCTACCGCATTCCAGCCTGGGTGACAGAGCAAGACTCTGTCTCAAAAAAAAAAAAAAAAAAAAAAAAGAAAAAAAAATCAGGTGTGGTGGTTCATGCCTGCAATCCCAGCACTTTGGGAGGCTGGGGTGGGTGGATCATCTGCATTCAGGAGTCAGACCAACCTGACCAACATGATGAAACCCATCTCTACTAAAAATACAAAATTAGCTGGGCATGGTGGCACATGCCTGTAATCCCAGCTGGGGAGGCTAAGGCAGGAGAATTGCTTGAACTCAGGAGGTGGAGGTTGCAGTGAGCTGAGATTGCGCCATTGCACTCCAGCTTTGGCAACAATAATGAAACTCCGTCCCAAAAAGAACATTAGCCAACATTTACCTACCACCCACTGTGAACCACTACTGCAAGTACTTTCATAACAACCCTATAAAGTAGGTACTATTATCCCCATTTTACAGTTAGGGAAGCTGAGGCACAGAGGTTCAGTAACATGGCCAAGGTCACGTGGTTAACAGTTCAACCCTAGTGGTTTGTTTCTGGGGTCTATGTTCTTGACCATCATACCAGACCACCTTAAAGACTCACAAAGATTAAATGAGAAAAGGTGTGCAAGGCACCCAGCTTGATGTCTGGTGCACAGTGAGCACTCGGGAAATGACAGCCAAGCGCCATTCACATCATTCTGAACTCTAGCTCTGACCCTCACTGGCTGGGTGTTCTGCACAGGCTCTGTGGTACCCGCCTGCCAGGGCGACCATGAGGATGCCAGCAGTCTCCTCTCCCACTCAGTGCATGGCTGTGCTCAGCCAGCAGTGTTCATTAGCTCTGCTCCTCTTCCTAGCCTGGAGGTCGCCTCTTACCCAGGGTGGTAACTGGTGCAGTGGGGGTGTAGGTGGCTTGTTACCAGGCTCCACTTCCTCTGGCTCAGCTCCAAGGGCCTTTGGGCTCTCTCTTTCCTCCTTCTTCCCTGCTGGGGGTGGCTCCTCCATCTCCATCTTCTCTGGTTCATCCCGGTACCGAGCTCGGGCCTCCAGCTCAGGAAGGCCAGAGGGGTGGAGTGCTGAGAAGGTCCCAATCTCAATGCTCATTACGTGGTCAAAGTGTCCATGGCCCACCTGGGGCTGGCTGTGGTGCCTTTTGGCCAACTGGATGCTGTCCCTCGGGGTGTTAGGAGCCCTCACTTTTGGTAGGGTCAGACTGCTGCCAGGGCCACCTTCTCTGGCAGAAGTCTTTGTACCAGGGAGCATCCCTTTCTGAGCAGTAATCAGGTGCTCACCCCAGGAAGCAGAACCACATCTGAAGGTTTGAAGCTTCATGCATGGCTGGCGGGGAGAGCCCTCTCTTTCTAGATGAGGTTGAAGGGGCTTGGCCTCTATTAATTTCCCAGAATGGACTGTGCTAGAACTAGAATCCTCCAAGGGGCTTGCTGCTTCAGAAACAGAGTCCTTGCTCTGCAGGGCAGCTGGGGAAGGTGCAAGCACAGCTGCCTTCAGACCCTGGGCCTGGGAGCCACTGTCCTGGCCCACAGGCTGGATGCCTGGCTCCGAAGGGACAGAATCCTGCTCTGCAGCTCCATGGGGGGGCACCAGCAGCTTCTGTGAAGGAGCTATCTGAATAGCTGTAGTTGAGGTAAAAACAGTCACATTGAGAGCTCCCTCAGCTCAGCCCCATCCCCACCATATACCTACCGTACACCTGCACACCCTGGCCTGCCTACCTTCTAGCGCATCTTGAAGGGCTCCCACTTGCTCCACCAGGCACTGATTACAGCTTTTCAGATGCTGATTCTCCATCTCAAGCTGAGCAAAAAAAAGAAAAGTGAAGATTTAGGACACCTACCCTATAGGTTCAGACATATTTTTCAATTCTTTATTTGTTTTGAGATAGGGCCTCTCTCTGTTGCCCACACTAAAGTGCAGTGGAACAATCTTGGCTCACTGCAGCCTTGACCTCCCAGGCCCAAGCAATTCCCCCACCTCAGCCTTGTGAGTAGCTGGGACTATAGATGCACACCACCAGGTCCAGCTAATTTTGTTTATTTTTTGTAGAGATGAGCTCTTGCTATGTTGCCCAGGCTGGTTTCAAACAATCTGCCCACCTCAGCCTCCCACGGGGCTGGGATTACAGGTCTGTGCCACTGCACCTGGCTGCTGCATGTTCTTTTCTTTTCTTTTTTCAGACAACATCTGGCTCTATCACCCAAGCTGGAGTGCAGTGATGCAATACTGGCTCACTGCAACCTCTGCCTCCTGGGCTCAAGCCATCCTCCCACCTCAGCCTCCCAAGGAGCTGGGACTACAGGTACACACCACTATGCTTGGTTAATTTTTGTATTTTTTTGTAGAGACAGGGTTTTGCCATCTTGGCCAGGCTGGTCTCAAAGTAAATAAATGAGAAAGTGGAGAGAGTAGACAATGGCCTGTGTGGGCTTCCTAGAAAGAAACGGAGGGGGCTTTTCAGAAGTGAGACACATTTCCCTCCTCCAAACTTAAACCCAGCACCAAGCTAGTCAGGAACACCAGGGAGACCCAACCAAGACAAAAGGAAAGGGGAAGTGAACCACGGCGTCTCAGCATGGAAGCTGAATGAAGGACAAGTGCTGGACAGAATGAAGGTCAGCCGAGGCACCCCAGAAAGAAGGGGACAGGAAACTCCAGGGGTCAGGGCAGGCCCCCAAGATGATTTTCCAACCCACCTCTGCTAACTTGAGTGTCACCCATTCCTTGATCTTTGCAGCTTTTTCTTGAACAGTTTTTGTTTCCTCTGCTCTCATCTGCTTCTGCAAGAAAGAAAGGGCCTTTGGTTAATCCCAACAGTCACCAGCAGAGTGACTGACTGGAGGTGGGAAACCCCAAGAAGAAACGTCAGGTGTGCATGCCAGTGACCTCACAAAGCAAGGGAGCAGAAATCGTCTGTGGCAATATTATTTGATAAGGCAACATAAAATTAAAAAACTCAAAACTGGAAATACTCTAAGTGTTTACCACTAAGGGGTTGGCTGAATAAACATGGCACATCCCTGACATGGAAGGAGAATGGTGTGCTTCCATACGCAAGCAACGTTAATAGTGAGGAGTGGAAATCAAGGATTGGGGATGGAGAGAAAGGTGACTTGTCATTTTATACTCCTCTGGCCATTTTGTATTTTTTTACTATAAGCATGTATGTATTACCTTTATAGTTAAAAAACAAAAAATAAGGTGAAATTGCAGATAATTGAGGCATTTCCCTCAAAATAGTCAAAAGAGGAGATGATTGAAAAGGAGGTTTGCATCTAAAGAGAAGCCTGGCCCGGCGTGGTGGTTCATGCCTGTAATCCCCACAGGCATGAAGGACGAGTGCTGGACAGAATGAAGGGGAGGCTGAGGCAGGCGGATCACTTGAGGTCAGGAGTTTGAGACCAGCCTGGCCAACATAGGCAAAACCCCATCTCTACAAAAATTAGCTAATCGTGGTAGCAGGTGCCTGTAATCCCAGCTACTTGAGAGGCTGAGGCAGGAAATCACTTGAACCTGGGTGGCAGAGGTTGCAGTGAGCCAGGACTGCACCACTGCACTCCAGCCTGGGTGACAGAGTAAGATTCGGTCTCCAAAAGAAAGAAAAGAAAAGAAAAATGTGGCCAGTTATGGTGGCTCACGCCTGTAATCCTAACATTTTGAGAGTCCAAGGTGGGTGCATCACCTGAGGTCAAGAGTTCAGTACCAGCGTGGCCAACATGGAGAAACCCTGTCTCTACTAAAAATATAAAAATTAGCCGGATGTGGTGGTGCGTGGCTGTAATCCCAGCTACTCCGGAAGCTGAGGCAGGAGAATCACTTGAACCCAGGGGGTAGAGTCTGCAATGAGCCAAGATCGCACCCCTATACTCCAGCCTGGGCAAAAGAGTGATATTCCCATCTCAAAAATAAATAAAGAAAGAAAAATAAAGAAAAAGAAGAACAGCCTAGGATAGAATGAAATATAGGCTTTGATTCTACATGTTGAGGCCGCTTTGCTATAAGACTGGGCAGGAAACCTAACCCCTTGGGGCCTGCGTTGCTACCTCAAAGGGGGATGATACTCCCCTTTGCTGGGCCATTCTGAGGATTGCGTGAAAGGAAGTCCACAGTGCCAGGTGTGGGTATCAACCAGTTCTACAGTGAGAACCAGTTCCAGGATCCAAAAAGCACACAGGCAACGGGTATATACCGAATTGTCTGGAGACCAGCAACAACTCTGGTAGGAAAAACCTGCCTAATATTTATAAGATGATGCACGGAAGCTCCACACAAAGAAGCTATGAAAATGAGATGGGAATGTGATGTCAGACTCTCAGTATTTTAGAGCTGGAAGAACCTTAAAGGTTATCTAGTTCAAGGTGTGGCAAACAATGGCCTTCAGGCCAAATCCGGTCCTCTGCCTGCTTGCCCCCACCCAGAACTGTTTTTGTAAATAAAGCTGCATTGTAATACAGCCATGCCCATTCATTTAAGCATTATCCATGGCTGCTTCCAGGTTAAAACAGCAGCTTTGACCGGTTGCCACAGAGACCTGTGGCCCACAAAGCCTAAGACAGTTATTACCTGGACCATTACAGAAAATGTTGGCTGACCCCTGACCTGGTTGAATATTGTCTTTGTACTCCTGTGGAATGGACAGAGGCAAGCCATTACTCGCTAAGGCCCTACAGTGAGAAATGGCTTGCCTCGGTCCATTCCTGGCACAGCTGGGACCAAACCAGGTCTCTTGACTCACAGAACAGTGTTCTTTCTTTTACGATCTTGACCTATTGATTCCAGTTGTAAAATGACTGTTTTTCTGACCTAAGGAGCTTTAGCAAGAGTCATTTTGTCTACCATCCTCCAGGACGCTGCCACTTCTAACTATGAGCTACTCAGAAGAGAAGGTAAAGTATGTCTAAAATCAATGGAAGAATTGATCAGAGGTTCCATGTGTCAAAATACTCTTTCCAGCATTTTTCAGGAACACATGGTGCCCCACAGCATACAAAGGCACTCCATTAATGGCCTGTTGGGTGAATGCTGATGAGTGAACATGAATCTGCCCATGATGGTTGGAGGGCACCACCAGGATTAGCTTCTCCTACGTGGAGAAGGCATGTGTAGGAAATTAAAAGTCATCTGTTCAGACTGTGGGGTGTTTAGTTGGAAATGATGACACTCTGGCACCAGGGGAGAGCTGGGTAGTTAAGACCAGTGGCAGAGGAAAGAGACAGAACTGGGATGGCATTGGTGAGATTGTGAAGGGGAGAAGGCAGGACACAGGAACTGGCAGGGGGACATTCCAGAATCTTCTCAGGAGCAAAGGTGCCGAGCGGAGCTGAAATGCTGGGCAGTGGCGGTCCCTGGGCTCCCATATGCTCAGGAGGGAAGGCCCTGGTTTCTGAGGAGGCAGCAACTCTGGTCTCTGTCTCTTCAGCTTCATTGAGACACTTTGGGCAACCAGCTGGCCATGACTGACCATCTAGCTCTGTGCAGCTCTGAACATACCTCAGCCAAGTATCAAGTATCTCATCTGGGCAGGGCACAACAAGGTCAGGATGGAGAAAGGAAAGCTCTACGTACCAAGCACTGACCACGTGCCTGATGCTAGGCACAGATCACATAGGTTGCTTCTCCCCACAGCCCTGTGAGGTGTTTTCATCCTTCTATTATAAATGTGTAAAATAAGAATCAGTGACTTAGACACTTTGCCCACTGTCAGAAGCAGCAGGTGTTAGAGGTGGGCTTCACACCCAGATCGGTCTGCCTCCAAGCTCCTTTTTCTACTCCTTCCCCTGCCTGGCTTCTGATGAGCAGATGTGGGAGGAAAAGGCCTTCCTATAATGAAACTTCACATAAAGAAATAGGCTCCTGCTGGATGTGGTGGCTCACGCCTGTAATCCCAGCACTTTGGGAGGTTGAGAAGGGCGTTTCACAAGGTCAGGAGTTCGAGACCAGCCTTGCCAAATGGTGAAACCCCATCTCTACTAAAAATACAAAAATTAGCTGAGCATGGTGGGGTGCACCTGTAGTCCCAGTTACTTGGGAGGCTGAGGTGGAAGAATCGCTTGAACCCAGGAGGTAGGGGTTGCAGTTAGCTGAGATTGGGGCACTGCACTCCAGCCTGGGTGACAGAGTGAGACTCCGCTTAAAAAAAAAAAAAAGAATAGGCTCAGGCGGGAGTGAGTTTCCTAGCACTCGAGAGCTTGAGAGAAGCAGCTCAGGAATTTGGGGGCCAGTGATACAGATGTTGAAGAGGGCATGGTGCTCCCTTGCACATGAGCCCTTACCTGCTTCTCCAGCTGAGCCTCCAGCTGGCGGATGAGCTCATCTTTGCCCTGCAAGGCTTTCAGCAATTCTTGGTATTTCCGGTGCAGGCTGCCTGGAGAGTCCACATTCTTCAGATTGGACAGTTTTACCTTCTCTTCCATGACACTGACCTGAAAAGTACAATGATCTCATAGTGTCTCCCATCGCTCATGCGGGGTGTACAGTGGCCAGTAATGTGGGACGGGACACCCTCTGATGCCCCAGGCTGCGACTCCCAGGCACAGCCCTTACCCAGGGTAGTCTGGGCCAGTAAATACAGTTGTCATTTATAAAGCTGCTATCTGGGCAAAAGAAGGAATGACAAAGAAGAAACACATTTTGGCTACTCTAGGTCATAGTTAGTAGTAATGGAGAGATGGGTAAGAGGAGGGTAGAGGAGACAGTAAGTGGGAAAAGCAGCTGCATCTTTTGCCATCGACCTCTGTGGATCCCAGTAGGAATGAGTTGGGCAGGACAAACAGTCTAGGAGAGCAACTGTCCCATCCCCGATGTGGTAGAGATACTTACTGCTCACTGGACAGCCATGTGCTGCCCCATATTTCTCAAACCTCCTGCAGCTAGATGGGGCCATGTCACTGATCCAACCAATGGGCTCCAAGTGGAAATGGTGCATGAATTCTGGACTCAAGTATGTATGCATGTATATATTTATTAATTAAAAAATTTTTTTTAAAGAGACAGGATCTTGCTATGTCGCCCAGGCTAGATTCAAACTCCTGAACTCAAGGGATCCTCCAGCCTCAGGCTCCCAAGCAGGTGCGACCATAGGTGCATACAACCGTGCCTGGCTGGGCTAAAGTGTTTAAAAGCTGGTGTAGGCTGGGTGTGGTGGCTCACACCTGTAATCCCAGCACCTTGGGAGGCTGTGGTGGAAGGACTACTTGAACCCAGGAGTTCGAGACCAGCCTGGGCAACACAGTGAGAGTCTGTCTCTATAAATAAATAATAGAAAAATAAATTAGGCAAGACGTGGTAGCTCACACCTGTAATCCCAGCACTTTGGGAGGCTGAGGTGGGTGGCTAGCTTAAGCCCAGCAGTTTGAGACCAGCTTGGACATCATAACAAGACCCCGTCTCTAATAAAAAATAAAATAAAAATAAATTTTGAAAATAAGTAAGAGCTAGTGCACAAGCATCCAGCTTTCTTTCCTTGCCATGGCAACCAAGAAGGCTGTGTGTTCCAAGTGGTCCAGCTATAAGATACAGGAGCCTACTTCAACCTGGATTCCTGAGTGACTGTGGAAGCAGAATCACTGGCTAACCCTCAATGGACAGGTACCAGGAGTGAGAACTAAATGTGATAAACCACTGAGATGTCACACTTCATTTGTTACCATAGCACAGTCTAGCCTATTGGGACTACCATACCCACTTGCTTCTCTGATCTTTACCCAAAGACTCCATTCCCACAGAAAGCTCCATGCACACTCATTTGTTCAGGTATAACACAGGACTGCTGGTGATGTGTGTGTCGTGTACATACGTCTGTGGGAAGGGTCTGGAAGGGCTGATGGTCATTCCCTTGCATATTCCTGCCAATCTCCCCCTCCACCCTGGTTACCTGGGTCTCGGCGTTCTCTGCTCTCTGCTCTGCCTCCAGCAGCCTCTGCTCCAGCTCCTGCATCTGCTCGGTCAGAGAGAAAGGGGAGATGTAGGTGCCATGTCCCTACTGTGAACATGGCATTGAGGCCACTTTAGAGAATTGCACACACACTGCACACAGGCCAGGCTTCAAGCACCCATCTCAAGTGGCTCAAGGGTGTCAGGGTAAAGATTTTCAAGGCAACTCTTAACTCCCTAATCCCGAGTTCATGGGGCAGGTGACGAGCCCATGGCTGCTGTCCTGTCTGCTGAGGAAGTAGAGGCCCAGCTCTTTTGCCCTGATGGAGGGTGTCTGGGGAGGGCAGCAACCCCACTGTCATGCTTCCTGAGCATCCTGCCCCGGTCCTGCCTTCAGCCACCCCTTCCCGAGGCCCCTTCCCTCTCAGCATTGGGTTACAGGCAGGGCCATGCCACTGCTCCCATAGGGGCCCTCCCTGGGTCATCGATAGAGAATGTTTCTCCACGCTCAGAATATCTCACTGGCTGGGGACAAATACCTCCTTAACCACAGTCAAGGACATCTCTGCCTGTAATGGTTTCATGGCTATCACCTTATTTGATTTCTTTAATCTCAAATAACTAGAAAGAGAAAGATAAGGCTCAAGATACATTTTTCAAAATTCTGTCTTGTAAGCTGGGCATGGTGGTTCACACCTGTAATCCCAGCACATTGAGAGTCTAAGGGAAGATGACTTGAGCCCTGGAGATGGAGACCAGCCTGGGCATATGCATCATACATGCTCCAGAGCTGTTGCATTCCAGCTGCGCCTTCCATGAGGCTGGACAGGCCCAGTGCCCCTCACTTCTCAAGCTCCAGCCCAACCTCCTCTCTAAGGATTTGGCCTCTTCTCTGGCTACTGAACCTTCTCCTCTCAGCCTGGACCCTGATCAGTGAACTGATCAGTCCTTTTATCTTTCCCAATCTCTCAGCTGAAATTCTGCTTTCCTAAATTAAAAGTTGGATGGGCAGGACCGCCCCCCAGCCTGCTGCTAGACAGTGAGAGGAAAGTTACATGGGAGCAGCAGTTTTGGATAGTGTTTAGGAACCTGGGGGACCTCTTTGTTCAGGGTGACCTTCTCTCATCCATTTTTTTCTTCTTTCTGGGGTTGGGGAGACATAGATGCTTTTGGGGTACATTCCCTCTGACAGAGTTAGAGTTATGCTCATCTGAAGATCCCAAGTAAAACTCAAGATTTACAACCCATGGGACAAAAATGCCCCAGTGCTCCCGTGGATAGGGCCCCTCTGACAGGCATTCACATGTTCAAGCCAAGGATGCCCACATCCCTTCTATCCTTCCTCTCTTGGAGTTAATAATACTGCTTGGGCCTCTTGGCAGAAGCTGAGTGGGTGGGCTGGTTCTGGTCAGTCTCGGGCATCGGTTTGAGCCAGATGTACTGTCCTAAGTGAAACAGTCCTCAAGCCTGTCCCAAAGGAGTTCCTTGACCTTCACACAGTTGCTGTGCGGTCACGGGGCAGATAACAGCACAGCATAAATCAATATTATGGCTATAGGGGTGGTTGCCCAGCGCAAAAGGAATTCTACTTGGTTGGTGGGGGAGGGTTTGATACATAGTGGTGGCTCCCAGTGTTGGTACTGCTTAACTCTTCCCTCTTTGACACCAGACCTAATGGGCAACCAGGTTCTCTCTCTCCAGGAATCTCGACTCAGGAGATGAGAGGCTGGAGCCAGGGAGTTGCCCTGGAAAAGGTGCACGAACCTCGCCAAGTCAGGGTTGTTGGACAGTTCCTTCAGTTCTGTGAGCTGCCCAGGGTCCTTCTAATAAATCCCATTTGCTTAAGCTAGCCAGAGTTGGGTTGTTTAGGATTTTTTACCACACAGAAATAATCTAATGAATGCAGTAATTAGGAGCATTTTCTTTTCCTTTTTGCCTTTTTTTTTTTTTTTTTTGGGGATGGAGTCTTGCTCTGTCACCCAGGCTGGAGTGGCTGGAGTACAGTGGCACGATCTCAGCTTACTGCAACCTCCGCCTCCCGGGTTCGCTTCTCCTGCCTCATCCTCCTGAGGCACACACCATCATGCCCGGCTAATATTTGTGTTCCTAGTAGAGATGGGTTTTCACCATGTTGGTTAGGCTGGCCTTGAACTCCTGACCTCATGATCCACCTGCCTTGGCCTCCCAAAGTGCTGGGATTATAGGCATGAGCCACCGCGCCCTGTCGCATTTTCTTCTTCAAGAATAAAATGAAATACTGAATGGGAAGACACTGGACCCTCAATAAGTTTCCTACACTGAACTTCAGCAGGACGACTGAGACCTAACATCTGCTCTGTAGCTTAGAAGAAGGCATAGGCTTTCTATTGGAAATGATAATTCATATTTGTGACATTCTGCAATAATTGCATGATATTTTCTAGCTTCATGTGATGGGAAAACTTATCTTGCTCTTTTGCAAATGGACACCAAGGTGGAGTAAAGGATAAACTTGGGTCTTACCTCCATTTGGGTCAAGAGTGATAAGTCAATGACATTGGTCAGAACCAGAAATCGCTCTGTTTTTGGCCACACAATGAGCACCTCTCCCCTCAGGATTTTATTATCTATCCCATGGGCATGCTATTATTGAAGAAGATGGAATGGCAAGGCACCTTTCAGAGCTTGGGGTCTCCCCTGGGGTATCCCCTCCAGCCCTGGGTCAGCCTCTGTCACTGCCAGGGGGTCCTCATTGCTGCCAACCCTCCCAGTCCTTTTTATCCACCTGGCAAGGACACTTGACACTCAAAGCATTTCATATTCACTTTTATGTTGGAATATTCTTCTCCAAAACTAGTGTCTGAATATTTTAGCCCCAGCATCAACACTTTTCACAAGGCAGATCTTTCATCCTCACCCTTGCTGGAAGAGCCACACCTGGAGCTCTGCGAAGCTGGCGCTATAGGTGGGCAACCTCATTTGGCCGTTCCAGGGTTGGGTTTTTTTTTGAGACAGAGTCTTGCTCTGTCGCCAGGCTGAGTGCAGTGGCGCAATCTTGGCTCACTGCAACCTCCGCCTCCTGGGTTCAAGCAATTCTCCTGCCTCAGCCTCCCAAATAACTGAGATTACAGAGGTGTACCATCATGCCTGGCTAATTTTTGTATTTTTAGTAGAGATGGGGTTTCACCATGTTGGTCAGGCTGGTCTTGAACTGCTGGCCTCATGTGATTGGCCTGCCTTGGCCTCCCCAACTGCTAGGATCAGAAGTGTGAGCCCTGGCACCTGGCCAGGGTTCAACATTCTTATTGCTGCCTTGCATCCACAGGAAAGAATGGCATAGCTACGAGGTAAGGCTTTGGAACCTGACTGACTCCACCACAGTATGGTTTTAAATTCCTTAATGTCTGTGTCTCAGTTTACTCTTCAGTTAAAATAAAAAGAGTAATGACACCTCCTAGAATCACTGTGAAGATTCCACAAGTTGCCCCATGTAAAGTACACATGCATGACCTGGCATTCGGAAGTTTATAGGTAAAAGCTGCTTACTGTTTTTTTCTTATACAAAGATGGCACTTAGGAGCAAGGAGACCAGTTTGCTGGGGACAGTGTGATGCTCACCTGTTGTCTCACCATAACAAGTAATAGAGCCTCCTTTCACCTTCTCTCTAGTGTGTCCTGCTTTAGGTGATAGATTACATGATCAGATTACTTAGAATTCACCTACAGAATGAATGGGTTTAAGCCAGAGCTTGCCCATTGTTAATTTAAAGCATGTCCTGTGAGACCTACACTGTGTTGTGGGCATTTAGCCTTTATGTATATAACTAAACAGGGCCACTTGGTCTGTGTAGAGCTGTGTGTGTATATATATATATAGGACATTTAGGCTATACTTACATAGCTAAACAGGGTCACTGTCATAGGCACTGTACATGCATTAGCTCATTTACATTTCATAACAACCCTAGAAGGCAGATACTATTAGTATCCCTATTGTGTAAATCAGGAAGCTAAAACGGAGAGGTTAGGTAACTTGCCTAAGGTCACACAGCTACTAAGATTCAAAGCCAGAATTCAAACTCAAGTAGACTGACTCCAGAGTCCATGTTGTCAGCCACTGTACTATACCGCCTCTCACATCCCACTCTCACATGTCACATAAAAACCAGAGTCCACATACATCTTGATTTCCAGCTTCTCTTAAAAAATCAAAAGATTGGCCAGGCATAGAGGCTCATGCCTGTAATCCCAGCACTTTGGGAGGCCAAGGTGGGCGGATCACAAGGTCAAGAGATCCAGACCATCCTGGCCAACATGGTGAAACCCTGTCTCTACTAAAAAATACAAAAATTAGCTGGGCCTGGTGGTGTGTGCCTGTAGTCCCAGCTACTTGAGAGGCTGAGGTAGGAGAATTGCTTGAACCCAGGAGGCGGAGATTACAGTGAGCCAAGATTGCACCACTGCACTCCAGCCTGGCGCCTGGCGACAAAGCAAGACTCTGTCTCAAAAAAAAAAAAAAAGAAAAAAATTAAAAAATAAATAAAGACAATGGTTGTCAACTTTTTTTTTTTGAGACAGAGTTTCACTCTTGTTGCCAAGGCTGGAGTGCAATGGCACCTTCTTGGCTTACTGCAACCTCTCCCTCCTGGGGTTCAAGCAATTCTCCTGTCTCAGCCTCCCGAGTAGCCAGGATTACAGAAATGTGCAACCACGCCCGGCTAATTTTGTATTTTTAGTAGAGACCTAGTTTCTCCATGTTGGTCAGGCTGGTCTCAAACTCCTGATGTCAAGTGATCTGCCAGCCTCAGCTTCCCAAAGTGCTGGGATTACAGGCGTGAGCCACAGCACTGGGCCTCAACATTTTCTTTTTTAAGCAACAGATCTTTTGCTCAATTGAAATCATACACTTATTCCTAAATATGTAAAATACGTGAATGTGGAGCTGGGAAGATAAAGGCCTCCAAGTCTTGTCTGTGGGCTCCACTACACCCCACAACCCTAGAACCTCTCCTGGGCCACAGGAGGCTCCAGGGATCCACTGGAAAGACAGCTGAATGGGGCCCTGAGGTAAAGCCATGGCAGAGG